AATCTTTTTACATTTCCTAGCATTTCTGTATTTAACTCATTTATTTTTAAATTAAGTTAAATATTTTTCATTATTTAGTTACTTAATGTATTTACTGACCAATTTCATCTTTCATATTTTTGTGTACTTTTGTATATTTTTTGTGTGCTTTGTGTACTAACTGCAAAATTACACCATAAATAGCAAGACATTTGAAAACACAACACAAGCTTAACACAAACAGATTAAATACATTTCAGAATTGTTCAAAATATGTGCTTATTAAGGCTTCAGCCACAAACATCTACTGACTGCCTTCTTAAACCTTTTACTATTTAATAGTTGTTTCCTAAAGAATGTAATAAATGTTTGTTTGTTCATTTGTGTAAATATTTGGATTATGAGTCTATTTAAGAAGTTTCCTTGTGTTTGATAATGTATTCACCAAAGCTTTAGAACAAGTTTCTCTCTCTCTCTCTCTCTCCCTTGTTCATTTCTTTCTCCGCGTTATCTGGTCTGTCAGACTCATTTGCGAAGCCGAGCGGGTGGGTAGGGTGGGAGGAAAGGGCTTCCCCTTCGCTCCAAAATAAAAAGTGAACTGAGACTAGAGCGACTAGCTACTCAGCATCTGGAAACAATTAGGCTAAAATGCGTTCAGAGCCTACTGACTGAGCAAGAGAACAGCCTTCAAACCACACATAAACCGGCAGGAAAGAGACGGGACTCGCATGCAGGACCTCTTTCAGTCATGTGTGCAGTGTTTGCTTTTGTTTTCGGGGTCACGTCACTCGAGTTCTTCTGAGAGTTATAGCCAAGTAGGTTCGCAGTGACAAGAAAGTCCCTGAAGGCTTTTTGAGTTTTTATTTTTTATATATAATTAATTTTGAGCATTCCTTGTAGTTTTGTCAACCTACAGCTTACATTAGATAGATTAATTCTAAAACTGGGAACTAGCTATGAGGCATCCTAGAGACATGATCTCTAAACAGAAGGCTCTAGAATGCTGAAGAACGTAGTTTGTATACTTTGATTATTTCTATACATAGATGATGCTTCACCTCTTTAACATGGCTACTCCAGTCAGCTTTGTGGCTACAGGACCTCTCTGTAACCACAGAGCCGGCCTGAGCTGAGGGAATAGTAAGTTATGTTGGCATAAGTATTCAGATTTAAAGCTACAGAATAAGAGCCCTAGGCAGTTTTGAATTTACGATAGACCTAATGGTTCCCTGCTGACCCCCGGCCTCCTATATTGCTCCTCACAGGATAAGAGCTGAATTTTATTAGACAGCCTTTAAATCTTGACCTTCTCAGTTGCTGCCTACTAATATATGTAAAAGATATCCCCAGTTCGTAAATGTGAAAGCAGGAGAGTTGGATCTGTTAAACTGTTGGTGCACTGTGGTAATGATGTGTTGTCCCCTTATAGAAATTCCATTACTCAACAGTAGGCGCACACAGATATGAGTTGTATGAACTGTGTGCTGTGAGTAGGAGGTTTGGCCTGGACTTGGATATAATGCAGTACTTCATCATTAGACTCCACCCATGCTTACAACATGGCACAAATACATAATACTCAATGTACATACTTGGGTTGTGCGAACGAGGCTCATGTGCATTAATCTAAAGTGAGATCATGGTTCTGGGTTGTACAGGATAGTTTTGAAAAGGATGGTCGAGTTCCCAGCAAATCACTGTTTGTGACTTAGTTAACAGTGGGATTTCTTTTTACCCCTTGAAGTTGCAGTTATTGCTGGCAACAATAAAAGCATTAATTAACGCTTGTGTGGTGTTGGGGTCCGTGGGACCCATTTTCCTTGTTTACCAGAAGAAAAAATGATGCAATTTATCATTATTTCAACCTCAGATTCTTGGCCTTTGCTCATTTTCTGTGAAGAACATATAAAATAACACATTTTCAGTGTCTTCACACTGTTCACCCCCTACACATTTATATTACACATGTGGTGTTGGGGTGAACCTGAAGGGAATAGAAGTGTGGAGGTGCTGTGACTCTGTTCTCCTCCTGCATGGCCTGCTGTTAGTGGGTCTATGTGTGTATGTGTTTGTATATATGTGTGTGTGTGAGGGTGGACAACATGGACAGGCTGCTGACTGGCTACAGCTGCTAAAGGACACCGTACGCTGGACTTTTTTTGCATTTTTACATAAATTGTTATGGCTGTATTGATTTAAAAAACAATAATGTTGTGGGTCCACCAGACCACTGAGTAACACACACATCAACACCACACAAGGGTTAAGAAGATATTAATTCATTTTCCCTTGTTGCTCTCTGAAACAAGCAGGGAAATCCTGTCAGAAGTACAGATTTGCAACTTATGGTAAGCAGAAGAGATGTTTTATTTTATAATGAATTTGATGAGAAGTTGTTGTGCCTGCAGTATTGTTTTGTGGAAAGAAAGAAATAATGTTTTGTCATTTTTGACATAGAAAAGAAATAGGAAAAAATGTAAGGCGTGTAGACTCAAAACTGTACAGCACATGTGTCAGGCTCCAGTCCTCGTGGGCCAAAACACTGCAGACTTCAGCACACTGCCTCATTAAACACACCTGATTCAGTGCATCAGTTAATTAGCAAGACCTTCATGAACTGATTTCAGAGCGTTAGATGAGGGTAAACGCTAATCTCTGCAGCACTTTGGATGCCTGGTGTAGAGACAGAATGTAAGTCCCATGGAAATTAGTTTCATAGCTTACTATGTAATTAAAATATATAATATACATAAAATACATAATTCTGGAAAAGTTCATAAAAACCAAAGCACTAACCTCTTGACTTGTAAAGGTTAAATAGTTTCATGGCTGATGTGATATCAGTTCCCACTTTATGGGCTACACTTCCTACCTAGGGAACTGGACACACACACACACACACACACACACACACACACACACACACACACACACACACACCAGTTACACAAGGCATCAACTCCCAGAACACAAACATGCACCACCCACAGCTGCACCCTCACTTAACCCTCTAGCTGCACACATATATACACACACATGTACTACAAGTGTCATGATTTACAAGATTTATATTCATGATTCAAGATATAATATTATATGTATGTATTCAGTATGATATATGTTATCTTATGTCTTATATTAATGTAATGTTAATGTTCTCAGTGAAAATAAGCACACACCCTCTATAGAGAGCACTATTCTGCTCACTGTAGTGCACAATTACTGTTTATTTGCTGAATTTAACATACTGGGGGAAAAAACATAAAATGTGGCCTGTGCAAAAGTAATGGCACATTTTATATTATATGTTTTTCCAGTTATGTTAAACAAATAAAATAGACATTGCAGACTTAAGAACAGCATCTTGAAAGATCATCAGTTTTGAGAGGGAGAGCCATCTTGGGTTTACGCCCTAAAGAGCCCTTTACGCAGCCTGACTGATGATGTCATTCCAAGAGCATAGTGTGAGGCCCTCCAACACACAAATCACATCTTCACAATGTCACAACAACATTGGACTGATGTTTATAGTCATTGCTCCTCTCACTGTGGTTTTCAGCCACGTACAGCAAACAGTGCTTCCAGCACGCAAAGGTTACATTTAAGCAGCATTTGTGGTAGAGCTGGACTATATCTGTAATGCAGTTACATCACGCCATGCTTGATCACAGTGATGTGCTTTTAAAATGTTGTTGTGATGTTAGTTTAACATTGTATTGTACTTTGGGTCATGATTCACTGTGCAGTAGCGGTGTTAAGAAGAGGATGTGGATGGCTGTGCAGATTACAGACCAGTGGAGACACATCAGGATGTGAGAGGAGAGACGTGTCATTGTGGTCTCATCTCCAGCAGCAAGAAAACACTCAGCATGACTCTTCACAATCCGATGTAACCAAATTGATAATATAGTCCAAAGACATGGGTCGTCTGGGAATTTCAGCAGTGACATCACAAGCTAATTTGGTTGTGTCTCAGAACAACATGTGATCAAATACTTGTTTATGCGTTTATGAAGAAGGATTTTCCATTGAGTAGTTGATGCTTTGCAAATGTATGATCCTTATGCTTTTGTGCCTTACGCTTTAAAGGGCCCATATCTTACATTTATTTATTTATTTACTTATGTATGTACGTATGTATGTATGTATGTATGTATGTATGTATGTATTATCTTCTGCTCCACTTTTGGTATTTGATATACCAAAAACAGTTTTAATTAATTGCTGCACGACCGTTTTCCAGGCTTTCTTTATCATGAAGAATTAAAGAAGCTGTTACTGTGCCTTTAAGACTAATATACAGTATTGTACAAAAGACTCCTAAACACATTATTTAGAACTACTTATTTTGCCAAGGAGTGTGTTTTTACATGTAAACTCACCATATGTCATTAGAAGTTAGGCAAATTAACATAAATACACTTAAAAAGTAACAAGAATTTCCTTTTTTTTAAACATCAGTTGATCATTTGAGCTAGTTTGAAAAACAGTGTTTGGTTCCAGATTTCTCCCCAACACCCCCAGCCAACACTCTTCATTTGACGTAATGAAGGATTGATTAACAAACCAGGTATTGGATGATAAATGCAATTAATACTGGGCTTAATGGAGGAAAGTTTTGAACATGGTTAAACACACTCACAGATGTAAAACCACTACTTATTTTATAAATATTATTTGTATTTATTGTGAAATATGTGACTTACCTCTGTTCTGACTGACTGTCCTTATTCAAAAAAGAGTCCCAGCTGAAACTCTGTTTATAGCTTCAACATGAGTGGGTAGGGCTAAACTGCTATAAGCTGAACAGGTGGATATGTGTAAATGTGTTGGCTGTTTTTCTTTTCAACAAAACCAATTAAAAATGGGCTGTTTTGCCACGTTTTCACGTGTGGGCCGCATGGACTGGGTACCTTCGCAATATTTACATGCTACATCAGACTTTTATCTAAAAAAGTAGGCACTTTAATGTTCGACTACAGATACTAATTTTCAGTTTCTTCCTAATTTTGTTGCCACAGAAACGCGGAACAGCTGAAGCAGCTCCATGACCAGGTCCTATTAGAGCAGCAGGAAGCAGCTAAGTGGCAGCAACAACAGCAGAAGCTTGAGGACGAAGCACCGCCCACTTCTCAGCAGGAGCCTCAGCAGGAGCCCCAAGAAGGCCCGCCCCCATCTCCGCCTCTTCCCCCTCCCCCCTCTTTCCAGGAGCTGGAGCGCAGCACCATGCAGACGAGCACGTTCAACTATGCCCGGCCTAAGCAGTTTATCGCCGCCCAGAGTCCCAGTAGCGGCGGGCCATTGGGTTATTCCACCCAATCCTCCACCTCCTCCGGCTCCAGCGTGACCTCTCCGCTCTCACCCTCCACGCCCCACAAGCCCTTTAGCCGGGTCTCCCTGCCACCCTTCCAGCCACAGCCTAAAGGGGGCAGTCTGGAGTCGCCTGTCTCTCCATCATTTCCGCCCCCTCCACCTCCCTTCTACAGCTCCAGTAACGTCTCCTCCCCTTCCGGCCCAGCCCAGGACTTCCCGCCTCCCCCTCCGCCACCACCACCACCTGTCAGCACCAGCCCCACCCGCTCTGATAGCTCCTCCCCCTTCACCTCTGTGCCCCCGTCGCCTGCAGGGTTTTTGGTCTCAGTGCTACCAGCCACGCCCTCCACCCCACCAGTCAACGCCCTAGGACTTCCCAAAGGCAATGGCACAGTGTGAGTACTCAGTTTTCTTTTTTGCGTGTTCTTCTACTTTTCACACAGTCTAACAGACAATATAATGATCCCCAAAGGACATAATTTGAGTTAAATAATTTGGGTCCGTGACTCAGTTATCTCACGAAGCAAAATGTTAACTGTTTCCATGTTCTTGCAAAACTTTCGAATGAGATTGAAGCAGAGAGGCAGGAGGTGTTGTACGATGTGATAATGCTGGAGTGGGTTGCTGATTAGTGCTGGTTGTTTGCAAACTTGCAAATCTGATTTTATTTATTTATTTATTTATTTATTTATTTTTTGGACACAGATCTGATGTATTCAGAGCTGTATGGACACACAAATCTGGTCTTTTTAGATCAGACCTTAATGTTTGTTTATTGCCTGCTGTACATGCAGTCATCCAGCTTTAACTTGGCAGCACCACCTAACTTGAAGTGAAAGCCAGTAAATGCTGCAAACGCAATACATCCTACCTTTTTTCACATTTGTCTTGTTCTAATAATGATCAACAGAAAGCTGTTCAGAGCAGATTATCTTCGTGACGAAGACTTGTGCCGCTTGTTAGTTCATGCAGCATGTGTTCATTACCATGATGTTATTGATTTGGCTCAGAGTTGAGCAAGGAGGCTTGTAATATGAACATAGCCTTTGGTGTTCAAACATTGCGGTTATGTTAGATGGCTTACTTCATAAAAATCCCACAGTGCATGCTGTGAGATTTTTGCCTCACGATATCAAGATGCATTGTTAATTTCTCCTTTTATGTTCTCATTGTCACCTTTTTTTTTTTAACTGTAACTGTTTTTATCTGTCCAATTCAAATCTACTATTTAAAGCTGTACTATATAAGGAGGAAACTCAGGTAAAAGGTAAAAACATGATATATAAGCACTGCTGTCTGAAGAAAACCTTGTATCTCCACTTTTGTCGTTTTTCAGTTGCCCTTTACATTGTATGTAAATTTCATGAAGAATGGGCCAGAAGAAACGGCCCAAAACGACTTGGAAAAAAGTCTGGTTCCATTGACTTACATTAAAGTAAAGTAGGGTTTTTCCTTTTTCTGTAAAGTTACCATTTTGGAGATACAAGGTTTATATATATATATATATATATATATATATATATATATATATATATATATATATATGAGAGAGAGAGAGAGAGAGAGAGATAAATATAGATATATAGATATAGATGTACACATACACATATATTCCCATATAAATAGAAACTTAGTGAGGTGTGGGAATGAGACAATTAAGTCGTGGCCACAACTTAGTAAGGCCTGGGAATGAAATCATGCGACTAAGTCGTGGCCACACATTAGGATCTCGTACCCACGCCTTACTAAGTCTTGGCCATGCATTATTTTTATTTATACAGGAAGTCACCAGCAGGGCTCCGTAGGGAGCTGTGAATCACCCTGTAAAGCCTGACGTAGTCAGTTAAGTCAAAGGCCTCGGGTTCGGACCATGTCATGTGTCTTTGCATATTACTGTCATGCTCACAGCCTTAAAATTAAGGTCTGACTTCATGTTTTATGTCTTAAAAAGGGTCTGAAGCACAGCTGATGTTACAAAATGTTCTGCTGCACATTTGAGCTTAACCATTTGCGTGTCTTGTGTATAGTTAGACCAGGCCTTACAGGCCTTCCATGTAAGGTTTACAATGCCACATACTGTGTTCTAAGCTAAGCTGTGTATTCATTGTGCAGGGCTTTATATATTTGTTATATGAGCTGCAGTAGAGCAGTGCATAGGGCGCAGAGTAGGATTTGGAACGCAGCCGTGGACTCCTGCAGCTGCACTGCTGCTCCTGGATGGAAGATGACGTTTACATTCTTATAAGGCATGTTTATAGAGACAGGAGGAGCGCAGAGAGAGCAAAAGAATGTTTGTGTGCGCTGTGTGTGAGTGTGCGAGTTCAAACAAAAGGTTTTATCAAAATATGTGCCTTATGCCTCGTAATTAGAGAGCAAAGCCTGTCAGTTGGAGAATACAGACAATACTAAAGTCAAATAAACACTTCATAACAGAGAAAGATCATCATAGTTTTCACCCAAATGTACACACTGGTCTACTGTACAAATATTAGTTATCAAGCTTTTTTCCCGAAGCCCTCCAAGCCTGGCAGACGTTCATATCGTAGTGTAGAAATAAGAGCTCCTTCCAGGCGCAGATTAATGACTGTGATCTTTAGCGGAGGGCTAATGTTCATGTCTCTGCTACGGTCATGTTGATGAATTACTACTAGATACAGTTCTAATCAAAGGCTAATCTTTCTTCGATCGAGTTCCTACGTTCACTTTTATCCCCGACCTTTTCATCTCCATCTCACTCATTTATTCTTCACTTGTTTTTCATTGCGTCTCCCTCTTTCTCTCTCGCTCACTTGCTCTCTCGGCATTCTAGAATCACAACGAGGGAGATAAGAGAGCACTGTGGAATTTCAAAGCTCAGGTTCATCGAGGAGACACACACACACACACACACACACACACACACACACACACACACTGACAAATTAAACTTCATATTTTTTTGTTAAAGCTTGTTAGGCCACCCTTCATTTATTCAATTTCCAGTCAGAACAGACAGTACAAGTCATTCATTTTTCATAGTCTGGAAAAACCACAAACATATATTTTATATAAAATTACACAGAATATAATATACTAGCATTGTTTTTCAGTATTTATTGTGTCCACATTAAGCCTTCATTATAGCTTCCATTCTTTTCAGGAGGCTTGCTTTCAGTTTTTCAGAAAGTCTGCAAGGATATTTTTCCACACTTTCAAAGTTCAGTCTTAGAAGTTGGTTGTTTTCAGCTTCCCATGATCCAAGTAATTCCAAACACGTTCAACAATGTTGAAGTCTGGACCCTGGGGTGGCCAGTCCATTGTTGAGAACTATTTTCTTTTCTCAGGAATGCTTCTTGACAGCTACACATCCTTTCAAACTCAGTGTCTTCTCACACTGGAAGGATGGACAGAAACACCTGTGGATGAGTGGAGCTTGATTTTCTCTTCTCTCTCAGAATGAAAGCTTTCAGTATTGATTTCCTAATTGTAACAGTTTTTGTGGCCTACTAGGTCTTGTTGGACCTGGTTATCATGAGCCCTTATTTTTTTTTCTGTTCATATCTTTTAATCATTTTTAAACTCCAGTTTTGGAAACTCCTCTTATTTTTCGCTTGCCCTTCCTTCCCAAGTGGATTATCTTATATCTGATCTCTGTTTTACTGGCAATGAAATAAATCAAGGGTGGTCTTTTGCACAATACACTCCTGTATACCTGCTTTTTTGCTGTTTTTTCTCAGTAGAACAGAAATGTGAATGTGAATCTATGCATTCGTGAGGGTATTGAGAGAAATATTTAGTTCAATGTGTGTTTGATTCCTATTTTTTAAAGTCTAATGTATGAAACCAAATCAAGTATTTCAAACTCTATACATAGACAGTGTATCTAAGCAGGATTTCTGATAGACATGTAAATATTTATTCAGTGCTTAGCAGATGTGACCGCTGACTGTTTACCACTTGGCTGTAGGTTCAGCTCACATGGGGCGGGTCACCTGTCAATCAGACCTGTCCCTTATGTGTCTAAGCTGCCGTTCCTGATTCCAGATTTAAACCAGAACAGATGTTAGCGAGGGTCGAATCACTCCAGAAAGGATACATACCACACTTTTACAACTTCCTGTGATTCCCAGCATGTCTGTGACACTAGAGGAGCTTGGTTCAGAATCACATTTCTGTGAGATAGAGATCCTTCTACAATAGACAGTTGTGCTTAGTGGGGCTGATACTTAGCCCAAGACAAGGCTTGTGCTATCCTGGTGATGGGGAGAGGTTTTTCTACTGCATTATGTGTTGTAGTCAGTCACAATTCATGGAAACTTGGTCATATTTAGTAGCTGTACCTACTGAAAATCTGCACAATACAATTACAGTATCTTATTCACTATAAAAGCACTGGGGACAAACCTTTGAAATCAAAAGAATGAATCCGACCCAATCCTGTAACAAATCCAGCCTGAAATAACACACTCACACGGTGTGATGTGATGATGTTAGCTGTGTGTTTCTTCCTGTGGGGTAGCACATTGTTTGAGTAGTTTGAGGATTTTAGATTTTCTACTTTTAGTTGATCATCTTATGTGAAGGTTTTAAATTAAAAACAGCTTATTTTAAAGCATAGTAGAAAAAATCAGGTTGGAATCCACCAATACTCAGCATTTCAATACTGGTGTTGGAAAAGGAAAAAGTGCTATCATGCCAGTATTGAAATGAGATATATAATCAATCTCATTTTGGACAGTGGGTTCCCACGGAAAACTGGCCGTACCCCACGGATTGTTTCTGACTCTGAGATCCAGGGCTCCAAAGATGCTGTCATCCAGGACCTGGAGAGGAAGCTACGCTTCAAAGAGGAACGCCTTAGCAACGGCCAGGTGTGTGTGTGGTTCACTAAGGAATGAATTTGAAGAGTAACCATCAAGCTAATTAACATGTATTAGATTTCTCATTACACCACATTAAAACCTCTACAGATTAAACAATTTCTCAGTGTGTCATGATGTTGAATTGGAAATAAAATAGTCACTCACATGTGCCAAAGATTTAAGAATAATTAAACTGAATCATATTTGGAAAGCTGCTGCTTGTCCTTGTGTCCCTATATCATATTTACATAATGAGAAGCCTTTTCTCCACTGAACTGTAAAGTCTTGGAGTCATTCTGTACAGTTTTCTATAATCTGCCAACTCCCTGTGTGTATTCCATATCTGCAGTATACACCTCCAGCACACTTTCAGCACTAATAATGTAATTCTGCATTAATCATGTCTAAATGGTCTCAGTGGTGTGAGAATGTGCACGCATTTGTGTTTCACACACTAACCCAGGCTCTGACCCATTAATCCTGCTTGCTTCCAGAGGTTAACCTATGAGGAGAAGATGGCTCGAAGGCTGCTGGGGGCGGACAACGCCGCCACAGTATTTAACACGCAGCAGACAGAGGAGGAGCCAGCCACACAGGTACACACACGCACATACACATAAAGTCCATATAAAGAATTTCCTCCACATAAATATATTTTTTGGCTGTGTTCACATTTACCAGGCTGAAGAGATTCATGTCTGATTTTTTTTGCCTTAAAGTGACACAGATCTGATGCTTTCAGAGCTGTGTGGACAGACAAATCTTATGTTTTAAGTTCCAATCTGAGCCACTTGTATCCTATTCGTGGCCATGCAACCTTAATGAGAATAGTCAGATCAGAATTCATGTGGTTTTATCCGAGCGTGAAGGCTTGTGCCGCTCGTTTTTTGGCTTGTTGTTGACGCACGTGGTTCATTCACATGACATTATTGAGTGGGATATGCGCATGTACCCAAGTTTGTTTACAGTAATGACAGATACGAATCACTTACCCACACAAATTCGAACCATCAACTTGAAAGGATGAGATCTAAGCAACGTCTTGCCACAGTTCACTTTTTAATCCTGGAAAATATTTATTTGGGAGTGTAAATGGCTCCAATTTGCACATAATGCAGTAATTTGTTGCCGTTTTTTGCTGGTAGCAGTTTTCTCTTCACAGCTCATCTGTCTGTTTCTGTTTGCACATATGTGCACATGTAGAAAAACAAAAGAAATCAAATTAAGATTATACATGCGATGAAATTCATGATTACTGAGCTAAAATCCAGATCTCTTTATTAACAACTTTAATCAGATCTAAGAAATCAGAGTACGCTGTTAATATGATGACTTACATAACCAGATAACTGCCAAAATCAGGCACCGATCGTGTTATTGATATGCATGTAAACACATTCACTGTAAAGCATGGGACCATAAGTGAGTATCGCAACATAAACTAGACTCACTTTCCTCAAAGAGTACTTTCACAGGACCGCACATCCTGTGGCCACATGGCGTGTAAATTAAAAAGTAAGTGCAAATTAGAGAGTAATTTTGAGCAAATAAAAAACAAAGAAAAACTTGTTGGCTACAGTGTAGTTTATAGGTTGCTGGCTGGGGTTATGCAGGACTGTGCTTTGCCTGTGTTATTATAGGAGCAGTAAGCAAGAACTTATATCAGATTTTCAGCATCTTCAATAATACTTACTGAATTTCTCACTGGCTGCTCTTTTAGAAACTCTGTAGCCCATCTGTTGATGCACAGTTTGGGGTGGCCATCCTTTAGCTCTTTGTCAGTGGTCAGTTTCTGATCACTGAGCTGCTCTTGGTTGGAAATGTTTGGGGGTGGTGGACCACCCTCTGCCTAGCTGTGACATTGACGGGCGGAAAAATCCCAGCAACGTAATTTGTTTGCCACACAATTAATGTCTAATCAACAGTGCTCTGTGGTCAGAAAGTGACCCATGATGAAACAGGCAGAGAAACAGGCAATAGATGATTACAATTACAGTGTGTGATAATATGTCTATATAATGGACCTAATAAGTTGGTGTAACTCAGTGGATAATGGCTGGAAGTGAAGACAAAAGGTGTTTCTAATTAAGTGTACGATGAGTCTAAGATGAAAAAATGAAAAATGTAGAAATTGTGAAATGGTGTTGAGGCCCATGGAGGTCTGTAAGTCAGTGAGATGACTCTTGAACAGTGGTTAGAGAGTGATTATAAGACATTATATGTGACTGGTGAGTACCACTGTCTACTTATTGCTTCTTTAATGTTGATGCTGCCAGCAGCCTGTTTTTATCTATGCATGGCTTCTTTGCCTGCTTATGTGCATTCGCCAGTGTATGGCCTTTTTGGAAATTATGTCTGTCATCATAGACATAGAGATGATAAAATAAGATGATGGTAAGAAGGTGAGTACACACACACACACACACACATACACACACATATATGTGGGTGTGATGTGTAATCTCTGCACAGGATGTGACATCATCAGATGGACACAAACCCCCTCTGCCTGTTCTGTGATCTCTTTACAGGAAAGCAGCTCAACTGACTCAGAGTCTGTCCCTCAAAAGGTTATTCAAACCTACGCTGTTAATTACCTTTCTTTCTTTCCTTCCTTCTCTTCCTTCCTTTCTTCCCTCCCTCCTTTCCGTCTTTCTTTCCTTTTCCTCTCTCTCTCTCACTCTGGTCTGGTGTTGGTCATTAAAGTGTGCAGTGCTCACTGGTTACCTTCTGCCAATCAAAGTCCACATAGCTCAGTCTACCCATAACAGTCTTACCTTACTATATATATTTTTTTTTAAGTTTCATAAAGCTTGAAAGACATTAAGACGTTAGCAGGTCTTAATGATTGTACATGGCACCAAAGTTTTTAGATGTTTAAGAACAGTGGTTTGTGCCTGAGCTTAAGTGGACTTTGATATTCCAGCTGTCAGTCACTGCCATGTGCATTTTGATTGGTCACTGACGGAGGTGTTAATCAGGTATTGGAGTTGCATGTATGCGTCTGTTTCACACATGATCCAGCACCTGAGACAAAGCACTAAAACACATGGTTCTCTCTCTCAGAACTATGTAGTGATGCTGTGGAGATCATTTAAATCTAATGTGCACCGAATGCTCAACACATGTCTGAGAGCAAATTGTGTGCCTGTGCGGTTTATATATGTGTGTGAGAGAGAGAATGATGGAGCGTGAGAGATGAGTGGATTTGAGAAAGAGAAAGAGTTGCAGAGTCAATGGAGTGTGTGTGTGTGTGTGTGTGTGTGTGTGTGTGTGTGTGTGTGTTGGTGTGTGTGTGTGTGTGTGTGTTGGTGTTTGCGTGTAGACACGCGCATATATCGGTGTGTTTGTCTGTCCTGTGCTGCAGCTGTGCCCTAAGCCTGTAATTATCATTGTGATGTGTCATCAGTACACACCACTCTCCAGATGTTCTGGTGAGGGTAGGACTCAGGATATGAAGAAGAAAAAACAAAAGAAAAAGCAAAATAAAAGAGAAAAGTAAAGACTGAGTACACAATAAATGCTAATAAAAGAGAGAAAGAAAAGAGGAAGGGAAAGAGGCAATGTTGGACAACATATTAATGAGTGTTTACATGCACTCAATAATCGAATCATAATCAGATTTCAGTAGTTATCCAGTTATTCAAATGGTCATGTAAACACCATACTCCAGTCTAGAAATTCCGATTAGGAAATCTGATAGAGAGCTGTATTTTAGCTCGTTAATCAGATTTCTCAGTGCATGTGAACTCTTAATTTCTTTCGGATTTCTCAGTCTGTGCATGCGCGAGAACAGACGGTGGTACCAGAATAAGCAAGCAGCGATGTCACGTCTTCTTCTGTGAGTTTATTGGCCGGTTGCAAAGCAGAAATCCGATCTGATACTGGCTGACTCATGTAGACCCCAAGTTTCCCCGTTATCTGATGACTAAAAGTGTTGATCCGATTACTGATAAAATCAGCTTTTCTGCAGTTATCGGATTATTAAATGCATGTAAACACACTCAATAAGAAGATTCAGTGATAAAAGTTGAAAAAGCCTTGAATAATCACTGAAGGCTACAAATGTGCTGATTTTCAATAAAAAGGTATACCGTGGCATTCAGTATATGTGATTGTTTTTGTGGACACTTTGAAATATCGTCACTAGTTGCAGTTTCAACAGAAATCGTTTAGACACACAGAGAAGCTCTAATTCCACTACGATGTCACATTGTGATCACATGCTGTATTTGATGTTTTACAGCTGTTTCAGTGTGTTATTGGTCTGAGTACCTTCACAGCTTACAGTCAAGGTTATTAGAGTATATGGATGTCCGAACTCCAAAGGCAACAAATAAGTAAATATTAAACCTTCCATGTTTTACATTTTTAGACATGAAGCACATCATGAAGTGAAGATTTAAGTTGTAGATATGACCACCGGGAAAATGAGTGACACATTTTATCACTGACACTGTCTGTTCTTAACAGTCTAAGGCTACGTTCACAGTACCAGGTTGAAGTGGCACAAATCTGATTTTTTGCCCTAATGTGACTCAGATCTGATGTGTTCAGGGCTGTGTGGACACACAAATCTGATCTTTACAAATCCAACCTGAGCCACTTTCATATGTGGTCCTAGATCGGATATGTATCCGATTCATGGCCAAGTGGCCCTAATGTGACGATCAGATCAGAATTCATGTGCTTTTCATCCCACTGTGTATGCACCTCATATAGCGTTACCATGAACAGAAGTTAAAGCCTGTAAACGGTGGAAAAGCAACACATCTCACCTTTTTTTCCTTCGTCTCGCTCTAATAATAAAGCTGAGAGCTGATCAGAGTAATTATCTTCACAGCGAAGCTCGTTCTGCTCGTTAGTTTGTTTGCTGTTCATGACTCACGTGATTCATTCACGTGATGTTACTGAGTAGGATGTGCGCACGCGGGTGATTTCAGGACGCTGGTTCGTTCATATTAATGACAGATTTGAATCACTTACCTGTCAGAGATCGGATTTGTGTGCGTGTTTGTGTGTGTGTGTGTGTGTGTGTGTGTTTGTGTGTGTGTGTGCGTGTGTGTACTCTTCACATTTCCTCACATATTTCCCTCGGATCACCTTTTTTGCTCCTTGTAACCTCACAATTACCTTCCCTGTTCCTGTACTTTAGCTAAAAACTCAATTTCCCAGCATTCCCAACATCTCTAACAATACCTTCCTATGTTTTTCATCACAGGAGTACAAGGTGTCAAGCTTTGAGCAGCGCCTGATCAGCGAGATTGAGTTCCGACTGGAGCGTTCTCCAGTGGAGGAGAGTGATGATGATGTTCAGCATGATGAAGACGCTCCAGGAGAGTGTGTGGCTCCATTCTTCGACCAGAAACTCAAGCACTACAAAGTGTTCGAGGGCATGCCAGTCACCTTCAGCTGCAAGGTCATCGGAGACCCTAAGCCAAAGGTACGTAAGCCACGGTGTCTTTTCTGAAGGCTCACATCACTCCAAAATACCTGCACAACCAGCATTTCTTCTCAAATCAAGAGTATTAACAGGGAGGGGGCCCCATGTACTTTGCTGCAGTAACAGCCTCTGCTCTTCTGCAAAGGCTTTATAGTAGATGTTGGAACATTGCTGTAAGGATTTGATTGCATTCAGCCACAAGAGCATTAGTGAGGTCAGGTACTGATGTTGGATCAACGCCACTCCAGCTTATCCCAAAGGTATTAGATGCTCAATCACTCTTTTCGTCCTACACCCCTCCAGCTGATGCTTGGCATTTGGCATGGTGAGCTTACGCTCATGTGTGGCTGCTCAAGAGCGTCTCACTTTATTGGTGGTGCCTTTCTTCTCTTTGGAGATTATACAAGCTGTGTGCGCGCAATTGAACACCTGTATCAGCAATGGGAGCACGTTAAAGTAGTTGAATTCACTAATTAGAAGGGATATCTGAATACTTTTGGATATATAGCATATGTACTGTGTGTAATAATCTTAATAGTGTAAGATGACATAGGCCGGTTGGTACACAAAATATACAATGGCCCTTACTGCACCATTTTGTAGTAATAGAAAGGATTGAAATGATGTTGCTTCACCAATATCTTATGTGAAGCTTTTAGCCCGGTCTGCTTTCTCCTATGGCACTTTTTGCCACGTACCACAAGCAGCATGCCACCAGAAGTGTGTATACAAAATTCTCATCTGCCACATTTTTCACTCGCAAGTCTGATTGAAAACAAAAACATTGCAGAAACTAAGCCGATACTTTAGTTGTGGTGCCATACTGCTTCTGGCTTAAACTGGCATTAGCAGAAATGGAGAGAAAGGTCAAAAACAAAAGAAATGTCACATTTGCTCATAAGCCAATACTAAACACACACATTTTTAAAAAGTATGACAATAAACAAATCAGTATAGAATATCACATTATTCACATTACTAAAAGCAAAGAGATTTAACTGTAGTTTTAGATTGTCTTGTTTCGATTGGCTTGTAACTCACTTAGTCACTGATAAATGATAAATCTCCACAAGGAGCACCATGAGCAGTCAAATAGCTTTTAAAGCTTCATAAAAACAGTGCCTCTTATCAGTGACTCTGTGTGTCCTTATTAATTAACAGGGAAGCATATCTTACCTAAATTATGTGGCTGTATTATCTGAAAACACAAAAATTGTTAAAAAAAAAAACACCCTTAGTGTTGAGTATACAGTTGAGACACGTACACAGAGGGAAATATCCTAGAATAAGAATGAATGCCAACAGTAATGCAAATGGAGGATTTGTGGGTGCACCAGTACAGTGTGAAAAGCGTTTGTATAAAAGAGAAGGAGCAACAAGAATGTAGTTGTATACAAAAGTCCTGGCACCCCTTCTCAAATGGTTGATTTTTCCAAGTGAAGATCAGTACAAATCCTATGCAGAGAGCAGACTTCTGCACATTTTAATGCACTTTTAATGCACAGTCACTGTTTATTAGCTGGATTTAACATGAAAAGAAGCATAAAATGTGGCCCATGCATTTTTATTTTTTTTCCGTCTGTTAAACTCAATTAGAAGCAAATAAATAGAAATTGTGCACTAAAATTTGCAGTAAATGTTTTTATATATTTAAGATTGTTCTCTGTAGAGGATAAAAACGTCATTTGAGCCTGTTCAAGCTTTTCTATAGAAATGTTACATAAAAGCGAAAGAGGAGAGCAACAAAGGACGGAGACACAGGGATTAGTGTTGGAGGTTTGGTGTTGTTATTAAAGGCGAGGTTTGTCTGCTGCTGACGAGTCACCACTGGGATTCCTGCCATATATGGCTGTGGCTCTCTCCCTCTCTCACACTCGCGTACACACTCAAACACTCTTTCTTTCCTTCATTTTTCACTCTCCTGTTCTTTTTCTGGCTACTGACAGCTTCTGTAATGACCGGGTGATGACAGCAGACCTGACGAATGCCAGCAGTATCTGAGAGAAAGAGAGAGCAAACGAGTGCAGAACATCACATGAATGTGTGGCGAAAACATGTTGTGTAATGATGTCTACATGTTCTCACTGTGTGTTTATATGTTTGTGTGCAGGTGTACTGGTTTAAGGATGGTAAGCAGATTTCGAAGCGGAGCGAGCACTACCGCATCAGTCGAGATCCAGACGGAACGTGCTCTCTACATACAGCCGCCGCCTCATTGGATGACGACGGCAACTACACCATCATGGCTGGCAATCCTGCGGTACACTTGCATACACACCCATTTTAAACATCATCAAGGAGGTCATACAGAGGTGTCATATGTATTATAGGTATGTAAGTACCTATGGGCTAGTTTCCCAAACCCAGATTAAGCCTAGGCCTGGAATAAATGGGATTTTTAATAATAAAACACTAAAGATGTTGCAGTTTAATTGAAGACTAAGCTTAAAGAGGAATTCCATCTATTTCTCAAAACTTTCTGCATAGTTAAATCTTACAAAAAGTTGTACAAAACAGAAACAAATATTCAGCCAAATGCTTGAAACAATAGAGATAAAACTTTGGTGTTAAACCATGTTTTAAATACATTCATGGCAGAAAGATACATACAGGGCATCGTAAGGCAGAATAGTCCCCAAAGAAAGCTTGTTTGTTTTTGTTTTTTTGTTTTTTTTTTTTCAGATTTACCTCTACTTACCATTATCAACATTACATGTAAAAACTTAGCAGACACATGTAGTGTCTTCAGTCATTTTGCATAGTAAATAAAATCTACTATATTTGCGTTATAGACACCCCTGGTTTCTATCACGATAATCGAGTGTGTTTATATGCACTTAATAATTCGGTAACTGCAGAAAATCAGATTTTGTCAGTAATCTGATCAACACGTTTACATGCACTTGAGTAATCAGATAATGTGGAAACTCCGGGTCTACATGAGTGAGACAGTAACCAGATTTCTGCTTTGCAATCAGCCAATAAACTCACAGAAGAAGACGTGACGTAACCTTAACGTAAAACTTGAACTTCATGCCTCAGTTTTTTGTTTTTTTTGTTTTTTTTTTAACATTGTGCCACTTTACCTGAAAATATGAACATACATCATCTAGAAGATGAAGAATATTTAAATCCTTCATTTCAAGTTTGGTTTCAGCGCCACTCCAGAAGTGTTTTGCTGCGTCGCATGGCAACGCTGCTGGTACCATTTGTTTTCGCGCATGCGCAGACTGAGAAATCTGAAAGAAATCAGAGTAAGAGTTCACATGCACTGAGAAATCTGATTACTGAGCTAAAATCCAGCCTCATTATCGGATTTCTTCATCGGATTTCTAGATCAGAGTTTTGTGTTTACATGACCATTTGAATAATCGAATAACTGCAGAAATCCGATTATGATCTGGTTATTGAGTGCATGTGAACACACTCATTGTTTCTCTACAGTGCACCATTTTACATCGCAGTACTCTGGATGGCTTTGTTTACATTCTAACAATTTAAGTATGCAGTAATAATAGTAATAAAAAAAATCTGTGTTCCCTTTAATCCTTGTCCACAAAACCAACTCTGTATGTGATATGAATTTTCTGAAATCTAACTTTAACCTCACTGACCAAAAAAAAAAATACTAAATTTGTGGTCCTGATATTGTGGGCTATCCCTTGTTTTGTCTATTGTTACTACAAAGTCAGGACATTTCTGTTTAGAAAACATACGAAAACAAGCACACACACATACACACGCCTCCTCTCTGTCTTCATGTTGGTGTGCTACATTTAGAATTGGGCCAAAGCCCATTTTCCAAGCCACTCTTGGCAAAACTAAAAAAGATGCGAGAATCCCCTTCATGATGCCAACATACAGTGCTGATGAGGAAAAAAGCTCTGAAAGAAAGTCATAGTATACGGTCGTATGTAAAAGTTTGCGTACCACCGGTCAAATTAGATGTTTTGTTGATTTTCTAAATGAAAATAATTTAACACATCCTCTACAGAGAACATCAGTTCAACATAGTAGAAAAATAAAACATGAAATATTAAATATGCCATAAACGTTGCACTTTTTTATTTTATGTTAATTTTTTTCCCCAATATGTTACAGTCAGCAAATAAACAGCAATTGCACATCAAAATGTACAGAAGCGTTTTTTCACTGAGAAAATCAACAAAACAGCATGTCATTTGACCAGGAGTGTCCAAACTTTTGAATATGACTGTATGCTGCTATATTAGCTGCTTGATGTCCTTATTGTTCTATGTAAGCAACAAATTGAACTGACCTGCAAAATCCTGACCATAAATACACATATTGTGAATAATGAAGTGGCTGTGCAGTTTAACTGAGGCCATGGAGACAGAGTTGTGTTATTGTAGCTGTTATTATAGCCAGTGAGGTCAAGAGTTTACAACCAAGCACACACAGACCAACAATGAATGACCGTTATTATACAGCTTATTGAAACAAGCTGTCAGACATTCATTACACTGCATTTCCTAACCCCATACATATGACCACCTCTGTATTACAATAGTAATCAGTTTTGTTGTCTTGAAGTTCCCTAAAATACTGTGCACTATATAGTATAGTTCTATATTCAATACCATGAATAGGCTCTAAATAATATCCTTGCTCTCTCTTTCTCTCTCTCTCTATCTATCAGGGGAGGGTGAGCTGCACTGGTAGAATGATGGTGCAGGCAGTGAACCAGAGGGGTCGGAGCCAGCGTTCCACACCTGGCCATATCCGCAGGTAAACAGTCTCCTCCCTGCCCCCTGCGCCCTGTAATTTATGACAGCTGAGGTAATGATCGTCTGATCTCTAACCTGCCCCTGACCTCTGCATAGCTTTATGGGATTAGTAGTCAAAGTGAGGGTGTGTCCCAGCTTAAGAACACCTGTGTGTTTTGGACACAAACCCAAGGGCCCTTTTCAAAAAGCAAGAGCCTTTTAAAAAGATGGCTTTTTTACCTTTTATAATCTTCAAAACAACACTGCAGTTGGGTGAATGAGCGTGAATGTTTTTCCATGGGGTGTGGTCCCTATAAAGCTTTGAAAGACCAGAGATACGATGTTACCTGTTCACGTTTTTGTTTTAATTATTCATTTTTACAGGCCGTACAAACACAGCAGTCACACAACCACACTCAGACATCCCAGACGATGTTGAGACACAAACAAATGCTTACTTCCACACACACGTACACACTCGCATGCAGTTCCTGAACATTGCGGAATCAGATAAGGTGTTACATAGGCTGTTTTTTACACAAATACCTGTCCATCACTACTTTTAACCTCTAACCCCAAACCCAAAGGGGCTAGTTGTTGGTTGTACTTTTTTTTCAGATGCATCTCTCTCTCTCTCTTTCTCTCTCTCTCTCTAAGACCCCGCTCCAGGTCCAGGGACAGTGGGGAGGAGAACGAGAACATTCAGGAGCGTCACTTCCGCCCCCACTTTTTGCAGGCCCCTGGTGACCTCATTGTGCAGGAAGGCAAGCTCTGCCGCATGGACTGCAAGGTGAGGCCACAGCCACTCAATTCATTCCTTGAAACTGAGAAACCACTAGTGAGCCAGCTAGCTAGCTAAGAGTTTTGTAGGCTTCACCATCTAAACAGTTTTACGTAGTGTAATGTATATCCCTTTTTTGCCATCCAGAAACACAGACTCTGGATCGAATCCCACGTTGAATGATGTGTGGGCCAAATTCTACTCACGTTAGCCACTAAACACTGACACAGGGTTGGGCATGTGGCAAACAACTGTAACGTATAGCCATCCATCATTATTTACTTAATTCCCCCTGCATCTGTCCCACAGTACCCAGTGCAGGTCTTCTACCTGTCTCCTAGAAAATGAACGAGAAGAGAATAAAAAATAATTAGCTTTACCGCAGTAAAAATAAATGGACAAACATTTTCTTGGGCTCCCAAGTCTAAGTGTTGGTCCATCTCCCGCAATGCCACAGCCATCCGTGGCTGGAAGTCCAAGACAGCCTTAAGTTGTCTGTAGGTGTGTGGCTGGACAGCTGTCAATATCCTCAATCACTCGGTTGAGGCTAGCCAACGTGGGCATCTGTTAGCTGACATAACAGAATTGGCAGTTACAGTTCTTCTCCAAATGTGTTGAGCTGTGCAGTGATGTTGCACTAGCAGCAGTTTGAAAAGATGCAGTGTCTGGCCTCTTGTCTCAGAGGAAACATGTGCTTGCTTTCACCCTCCCAGTTTGGTTTGATGGGGAGACCTTGGGAGACCAAGCTATGAGCTGGAATTGGACACAAATTGGGGAGAAAATTGATGCAAAATCAGGATAAAAAAAAACAAAACAAGTGTTTTCTATGTTTATTATATCCTAAAAACAAAGGGTTGCAAATTTTCAGGGAGTCACTTGTACATCTTACAATGCCACAGCAACACGTAGACTATAACACTGGGGTTATTTCATCCACTACTGAAGAGACTGTTCAGTTTGATTGTCCCTCGAAAGAGCTCAGTAAAGCTCAGTAAAACACCTACTCGCATGTCGATTTATCAGTCTACTCATGCTTTAGCAGGAAGTTTAGCACTTTGAAACAAAGATGTTTGTTAAAGTCAGTGTGAATTGGAAATCATAATATTCGATCCATATTATGACATATTTGAAAGTGAAATGCAGCAGGGAGTTGCAGTGGTTTGGAGGGAGTGCAGTGTCCCCTGGGAGAGGGAGTTTAAACATGATATTGTTGGTTAATATTATTTTCCCACTGCTGCACAGTGACGTAATCAAAATATCAGAAGCTGTTTTAGAGACGTGCAAAAAAAACTTGTTGCGCTTTGATTAAATATTATGGGAAATCTAGAATCTTTTAAATGGTGTGGTGTGGTGAGTCATGCTTAATATCACCAGAGTCAAGAACAAGGAGCTGCGGACTGATTTTAAAATAGTTTGCAAACAGACGGTGGTGGTGTTTTTTCTTTTTTTTTTTTAATGTTGTATGTTTTTTTCATTTAATGGGAAAGTATTCAAAAAGGATTCTGCTGAACTTATATAAAGTAATTGTATTCCAAGTACTGCCTTTTCAAAATGTAACATAGATCGATCACTGATACCTCATTTTTGTATTCTGAGTGTGTGTTGCCATTACTATTATTTCTTTACAACTTAGCCCTGTTCCCGGTCACTCCCGGTCAAACATAGCTACATGCATGAAGGCAAACACCATTGACTACACAAAATAATGTAGAGTGTGAGAGGTGGGGCTGCCAATTGTTCAACCAGTACAGGTACCCTGACTTCAGTACTGATTCTTGAATGATCAGTACGCTCTTTTAAATTGTAGACTGACAGTGGCTGTGGCTTAAACCATAAATGAGTGTGAGGTGTTGGGTGTGTGTATATTTTCTGGCTGCAACAGACTGCTGACCTACCAGTGAGTGCTGATGGTAATAACATGCAGTATGCATACGAAATGGTATAGTTGGTGTTTATAGTCAGAACAACAAAATATTCAAATTGTCATGACAGTTTATCGAATAGTAAATTGGATTAAATTAGATTTCTGATATGTGATCGAGCTTGTCTCTAATGTTATACATTCTCTTAAGAACCAAGACATCTATGTCTGACATCTGTGCTCCACCAGAGGGCAGTGTGGAGCTGGTGTCTTATGTTTTGGTCTGAGTTTAAATCTATTTATTCCAAAGAAGGAAGCAGGCCAGGTAAACGCTACCACACACCAGACAATAAGGGAGGTGTATTAGTCAAAGTTTGACTGAAAGTCCAGCCCTAATGCCAACACTGACTGACTACTTAGGTATTGAAAGTCGATTCGGTCAGTACCGTAAATTTACGATACCCAGCACTAAAGGGGAGCTACAGTATAGCAATGCATGTTCCTGGGTTGCAAGATTCTTATGTTAAAGAGATTTTTTAAATTTTTGTTTCTGTTTGACTGTTATAGCAAGAGAGTAAGAGTTTGTGACTAAGAGAGTGTGTGTGTTTGTGTGCGAATGAATTCTAGGAAAAGTTTCCTCCCTGTGCATTCCACATAGAAGAGGGGGGAAAATATCAGTGTTGAGGGTAGATGTTTCAGCGCCTCTCTGATGATAAATGACTTCCAGTGAAAGAGGAGAAAGCTGGAATTATTTTCCCTCTCTCTCTCTCTCTCTCTCACTCTCTCTCTCTCACTCTATTTTTTTCCTCCTCTCTAATCCCAAATATTTCTGTTTCCGTTTGATTGCCCTGATCTCCTGCTGAGTCTCCTCTTTGTATCCTGCATACCTTTTACCTCTGATTCTCTCTTCATCTGCTTAATAGATTTCTGGCATCCCTTTTGTTCTCTTCTCTTCTTGTGCCATATCACGTTGCACAACTGTGTAACAGTATTGTAATGAAGGATTCAAGCACTAGATAAAGCCTCTAAATGAGAAGTATCTCTCTCTCTCCCTCACATACAGAGGCTGCATTTCTGTATGGAGCTGATTTGTTTGCTGCCAAACTGCACAGGCCAAAAACACCCCTGAGTACAAACTTCAAAGAGGCCGAAATCATGAGATGAAATCAGAGATTTGTTTTTCTCTCTAGAGCCCTCTGCTGACACACACATACACACACACACACACACACATATTGGGTTTAATCATAAAATGTAATAACCAGTGGTGACGGAATATCAGCTTTCTTTTCTTTTTTAACTTTTTTTTTATTCAACACACATAGTACATAATACATAATACACAAAACATAGACAAGATATCCATCCAATTACAGTTGTTTTAACTTAAAATTATTTTCGTATCTGTTCAAAACATCCTTGTAAGCTAATTTGTCATAAAGGAAGAGAATTAATAAAAAAATAAATAAATAAATAAAAATAATATTAAAAAAGAAAAAGAAATACCAGCTTTCTTTTTCATGTTGAATGTAAAGCTTCTGAATTATTCAAAATTTCTGTGATGCTTCCTGAGAAATTCAGTGGTGTTGTGGGGTCTGAATAGGTGCATATACTGTGCCTTCTTAGGGACCCCCACTTCAGCTTGTCTGCATTCGTCCACACACTGTAAACACACCATTTTCTCAAATAGTCTTAAGCCGAATCTTTTTGGGTACTCCTGGTCAAGTTCTGTTTTCTTGATCTTCTGAGTGTAAATAATAACTGTTTATTTTCTGAATTTAACATCAAAACATAAAATGTGGCCTGTGCAAAAGTTATGGCACATTTTATATTTTATGTTGTTTTTTTTTTTTTAATTATTTTTAAATTCAGAAAATAAACAGAAATTATACATCACAATTCACAGACAAATGCCATATTAGTGAGCCACTGTCTAGCTAGAATTTTGTCTGTACATATCACTGCCAAAAAACAGCCAGAAAGTAAAGGATATGTCTATGTAAGTTAAAGCAGAGTCATTACTTTACCTTGGTTTTGCCTTGCAGATATTATGTAAGACTTGACTTTTTTTCTCCCAACTCGATGAATTTGACCAGTCTGGGTAACACTGTCCACATATAAAGGGTGGAATTTGTGTGGAGTGCTCCTTTAAGAACATATACATTGTTCAGTGTTTACACACAAACTTAGTGATGATGTAGTCCTGGCACACCTAAGGGTGGGAGCTGTGTTTGGTTTCTGAGGAGAAAGTGAAGATTGTTGAGAACAGAGCTTGGGCTTTTAGCATAATCCCATTTCTCATGGGAAAAACATCTTGCACCCAGTCCCACTCAGTCCAGACCAGAACACACACCATATACTTTGGACCATGTAATTTGGTCCAACACTCTAAATTCCCAAAGCTCAGTGATTTGCTCTGACATTGAGTGTGAGATATTTCCACTGAATGTGTTTGACTGACTCAGCCAATACCCATTTCTCTGCAGGTAAGCGGTCTGCCTACTCCTGATCTGATCTGGCAGCTGAATGGTCAGACCATCCGCCCAGACTCTGCCCACAAGATGCTAGTAAGAGAGAATGGAATCCACTCATTGGTCATTGAGCCGGTCACCAGCAGAGACGCAGGAGTGTATACATGCATCGCCAGCAACAGGGCCGGACAGAACTCCTTCAGCCTGGAGCTGATTGTAGCTGGTACGTTTTGTTCTCCCTTCATAAATATGTAGGGAATATAATACAAGATGTAGTAGTAACTAGGACTGCACTGATATGGAATATACGAGTCAGTACGCTAACCCGCTAACCGCTAATTAAAACTTTGTTGTGGCTGATACCAATACTAGTAACCAACAATCGAGTGTTTTATTTCTGTTCTAAAAAAAAAAAAAAGTTCATATTATAATTTATCCATATCGCTGTTGTTAGAAGAAAACCTTGTATCTCCAAAATGGTAACTTTAGAGGAGACGGAAAGAACCTACTTTACTTTTAATGTAAGTCAATGGAACCAGACTTTTTTCCAAGTCATTTTGGGCTGTTTCTTTTGGTCCATTCTTCATGAAATTTACACATAATGTAAAGGACAACAGGCATTTTCAAATTATGCCAAAAACTGAAACATCAAAAATGGAGATACAAGGTTTTCTTTCAACAGCAGTGATATGCAGTGCAGTGTGTGAAGGACAGTTTAAAGATGAATCATTGATTAATTTTATATAGTCATGACATGACAGCTAAATCAGACACAACAATTTTTGTAAATATTAGTCATGTAACAGTACACAGAATTCAGAATTTGATTCGACATGATAAAGGGGTGCCTTGACTTGAATACGTTTTTTGACACAGCAACAATAAGAAATGGCTGAAAATGTGCATTACATTAATGTTAATGTTTGCATTTTCAGTTTATAAGAGAGTTCAACTTTATAGAAGTACAACAAAGGCTGTGTCCCAGACTAATGCTCTAGCCACAAGCTAACGTTAGCCTCAAATAAGCACACTTGCTATTACAAGACACAACAATACAAGATCGTACGCTGTAATACAATTTGATCACTAGTTAACATCTATATTACATGAGGAGTCTTGCCCATTGACTCTTAATGCTATAGCAGTGGCATTTCAGCCTGGACGGCTAATCAAACCTCTAATTTTCTGAGTGTCAGTGCATGCACGAGCTAAAACTATAATCAGTTGTAATTATCTGCTGTAAATCCAATATCGGCCCAATACCATAAATAAATTTTCCCATTTAGTGGCGATTAATATATTGAGCTCTGATGTATCGTGCACTCCTACAGATCGGTGCTTGGTACAGTGCAGCGTTCGGTACCTAAATTATACCTCTAACACTCTCTGTTGTAGCTAAAGAGATGCACAAAGCTCCCACCTTCATCGAGAAGCTCCAGAACACGGGCGTGGCCGAGGGTTACCCTGTGCGTTTGGAATGCCGTGTGATTGGAGTCCCGTTCCCTCAGATTTTCTGGAAGAAAGAGAACGAGTCCTTCACTCACAACACAGACAGAATAAGGTAAGTTCAGTTTCACCATTACAGTCTTTGATCCTTTTTATGCATGACGATTATGATAATGCAGTTTTGCAAATGACTGTGCAGATGTTAAAAAAAATTCAAGCAACTCAACTAATTACACTTGGTGTTTCCAGAGTAGCCAACAGTGTGGTCAACAAACACCAAGCACTTAAAAAATGCTGAACTAGCTAGCTGACTCAAAAATCATGTTAATTAACAATGCATTTACATTATCACACTGTTATGATTTTTTGTACATATTGTGTCATGTTAAATGTATGTTAAAAATAACACACTATATGTTATTAACACAACTGAAGGCATTATTTACACTTAAATAAAACACAGATTTAAACTACTCCCAGATACTTTATAGACACTCCAAGTTTTTATTAACTGAGAAATGAGATGATTTCTCAGTTTCCCCCAATAACATTATGTAACCAGCTAGAAATCCTAGAAAGTTCTCACATGCAGGTTATCACTCTCTCTCTGACGGTATGTTTTAGCCACCAGCAGGCCAAGCCGCTGTGCACCGGCAGCTCCATAAATGGCAGCTGTAGGGCGACTGCAGTAGACAGGCTGTCTAAACTGCTACCACATGTATACACAAACAGCGACGAACATGGTCTTGTAAAGGGAGCATATACACAGGCAGTAAGCCACAGTAAAATGTGGAGTACTACAGACGCTACCGTCTTCACCACCTCAGAGAGATGTTTGAGATTTATGGTCTCCATGCTGAATTGGACTTTCTTTAGAACAGCACAAAACAATTAGTCTCAACCAGAGTGAGTTTCCACTGGGTAATTGGTCAACCACATCAAGATGCAGTAGAAGTGCTTTTATTGGTGCAGTTTTTGGTGTGACAGACTCATATTTGTGTGTGTTTACACTGTGATTGGAACTGTTGCAGTAGCTGATGTTTTGATTGTCTAAAAGCACACAGAAACAACCTGATTATCAGCTGTATTTCAGATCTGCATGTTCAGTAAATAAAAAAACAGCATTAACAACGCGCAAGTTAATGACATGATGTCAGCATTTTCAGACCAGATCTCGGTGGTCGGCAACCCCAGTGTCAATTTTGTTAAGTATCAGCAAAAAATCTAACCACCTTGGGAGCCACAACATTTCATATCCATTTTATTGAAGTAACGTTTTACCGTCTTGGCTGTAAATATGTCTCAGTATGTGCTGATGTTCTAGTATAGGTTAAAGAATATAAACAAAAATGCAGACTTACTTTGCTCTGCTTTAAGCTTTAGCTCAGCTATAGCTGCTTTTCTCGCATCTCCAGCAGGAAACTTTTCCGCAAAAGTAGAAAAGTTGCTTGTGTAAAATGTCTCTTAACGTTTGACTTTTGACAAAGCTGAAGTTAGCTTCACATTCGCCAGCTTGCTGTTTGAATGTTCCCGTTCCACCTTAAATGGTGCCTGAGGTGCCATAATGTAGCTAACTATGTAGCCAACTGTTGCACCATTTAAGGTGGAATATTAAAAATTTAACAAGAAGCTGACGAGCGAGAAGTTGACTTCAGCTTTACGACTTTTTAGTGTTTGACAGCTTCTCATTGCAGGTTATGCTTATAAATGTAAATAAGTCAATTTGTCTCCAGATTATCGATGTTCGTCTTAAATCTTTCTTATTGCTATTTTGTTAGCTGCTAGCTAGGTGAGATTGTTATCTGTGTTGCTGTGTAACCAGCAGTCTGAGCGGGTTCAAGGGTGAATTAACAGTTCTACATTAACTCCAGTGTTTAAGACCATTTATTGTTAAATCTGTGTTTAAACAATCAGCAGAGCTTTATTTTACTGCAAAGGAGGATTATTTTATTTTCACCTAAAAATGTAATTCTGCTGTGGAGCCGCAACAGGGCAGTAAAAGAGCCACGTGTTGCCAACCCCTGGGCTATCTACATGATACAAAAATCTTAATTTTTAGTGTCTGAAAATGTATTTGTGTGGACAGAAGACCAAAATGCAGAGGAAAAAAAAACATTTAAAAAAAAAATATTCAATATGTGTAGATGGGGCCTGAATTAGTTCTGGAAATCTCACTAGATTTCTGGAGATATAAATGTAATTTAAAACTTTTACTAATATGTCTGTTATGAATTTCACTTTCCAGTATGCACCAGGACAACTTTGGATACCTGTGCATGATCATCCAGCCAGCTTTGAAGGAGGATGCAGGCTGGTACACGGTCTCAGCCAAGAACGAAGCCGGCATCGTCTCTAGCACAGCACGACTCGATGTACACAGTAAGTTGATTATACAAAAAATGCACAGGGTGTAAAAAACACCTGCCGAGATGTGGTGGGGACAGACATCTGGTATGAAACATTTCATTGAAAGTGGCCCAGATCAAACAAAGGAGTTGAAAGAGGGAGCCAAAGTGAGGCAATATCTGATAAAAATGTGTGTGTATGTAGATACAAATCCACATTTGACTTGGCCAACAGCAGCAAACTCCCTTTCTGCGCTCAATTGTTTCTGTAGTGATTACTCCAGTCTGTGCTCCGTGTTTGCCATTAACAACATTTTAAACAATTGTAATCTCCACTCAAAGCTGTTACATCTCACATGGGTTCATTAGCTCAGGTTAAACCAACACAGGGCTGGCAGCTTCCCCCCACTACTGTTATGCAAGTGGCTTGTAGAGGGGATGTAGTCTTGGGCGTTAAAGTGGTAACCACAGCCGAAACATGTAGTGAGAAATGAAGTGGAATAATCCAAACAGAAGACTGTATGAGATAAATGATGAACATTTTTGTTACATTTAAAGCTGTTTTCCTGAGCTGATTTAAGCATATTGTTTAAAAAAATTACACCCTCTATGTGGAAAAATGTTTGAATCTAGGACAGGGGTGCACAAGTCGTGGAGGGCTGGTGTCCAGCACACTTTTGTGATTTGCTTGCTCAAAAACACCTCATTCAACTCATCCGTTAATTGCCAGGTTTAGTGGACGTGTTTAAGTAGGGGAGCCACAAAACTGTGCTGAGCACTGGCCCTCCAGGACCAGAACTGTGCACCTCTGATCTAGGAAAGAGATCATGTGGCTAACAGTGAAAGAAAGTTAATAAGACTAAATTTAGTCATTAGCATTATGCTCACTTTATATTATATATGCTTAATACATAGTAAACACTATAGTTTTCACTCACAGACCTCTGGTCTCTGAGGTCATTACATTTGAAAAGCTGTTAATCTGAGCCATAAGTGTTAATTAGCTCATAAAAAATCCCATTAATATTAGAATGAATATAAATAACAATGATTTTATGTAGGTCAGTGTTTTTGTTTAACCATTTCCACCTTTCTCCTTGTGGCATCTCAGGATTATTTGTTCTTATCGTCTAATACATATGTCAGGCTCCAGTCCTTCCAGGCCAAAACACTGCAGACTTCAGCATGTTGCCTCATTAAACACACCTGATTCAGCTCATCAGCTAATTAGAAAGGCCTTCATAAACAGAATTCAGATCTTTAGATGAGGGTAAACGATAAATTCTGCAGAACTTTGGCCTGGAAGGTCCCCAGTTTGACATGCCTGGTCTAATACCTGGTTTGGCTAATCAATCCTTTATTAAATGAATCTCATGAGATGGTGATGGAATTTAATAAATCGTTGTGATGGCTGGGGGCATTAAGGAGCAATCTAGAACCAAACTTGTGTTCCTCTAATCAGCTCACAAGATAACTGCCTTTTTGAAAAAGCAAGAACTTCTTGTAATGTTTTACTGCATAGTGCTTGTTGTGCATTATGCTTATTTGCTTATCTCCATAATGCTTATTTGTTCTAATGTTTGTAATGTGTTTTTATGAGGAAACACAGTTATTTTCCAGATAAATAATTTGACTGATATTATCTAAACTCTCTCTTTCCCTCCCTCTCTCAGCCCAGTGGCAGCAGCCAAACAACCCTAAGCCGAAGAAGGTGCGTCCGTCGACCAGCCGCTACGCTGCCCTGACGGAGCGGGGTCTGGACGTGAAGGCGGCCTTCTTCCCCGACTCCAGCCCCCTTCCCCCCGGCACCCTGGTGGAGAGCGACGACCTGTAGACGCGGCCTCAGGCCTAATCCATGAACCCTGACCTTTTGACCCTAGTGCCACTGTCCCCAACTCAACACCACCACCCCCTATACCAGAGGAACCTAAGTCTGTTGGAAGATCAGCCGAAGAAGAAAAGCCTATTAATAAATTGATTTGGAAGCTCCTATTTTACTCCACAGGAGAAGAAAACCACGTCTTCTTTGCTTTTTTTTTTATTTTATTTTATTTTTTTTGTGTTTCCTGATGGGCAGTGGGGGAGTGTGATGGGTGCTGCATTGAAGTCAACATCCTGCTTCTTAATTGACTTCTGGGGCTTTTCTCAGTCTGCACACTTACACAATCAGTTCAAGCTGATTTGAGGGAGGAGGTACTGTACCCATGATCACCTTGTTCTGCCATCGCTGGATTATTTCACAAGTGCCTGAGAGATGATTAACCATATCAGAATGCTTAAGCAAAATGTATTAATTTCAAATAAAGTAGCTTCTAGTTCTGCATGTGTTACAATGGTGCCAACATTTGATACTTTCATTGTATTTACTCAGTGCCTTAGTCTGTATTTATAAGCTGCTGGAAGAGGTCTGTTCATTTCTAGCAGAGAGAAAATGATTTGTGGGTAACAGGACAGTGTTTTTAGAGGTGGGATCGATTCACATACTGCTGGGGATACATCCAAACTTGGATCGGACTGATAGTTGCGGGGCTTTAGGGATCTCTTAAGGGAGTTCTCCACTTCATAGTGGACTTTTGTATGTGAACTGCAGCAGTGTAGATGTAGACAGACTGAGCACACTAGCACAAATATCCACCAAGTCTGGATTTAGAGTTAGCACTATGCTATAGATATTGCACAAGGCCGGGCCTTATTTTTTTCCCCCTTTTTCTTTTTCTTTTCTCTCTTTCTTGCGTTTGATCACAAGGGAGTCGAAACCGAGGTGTTGTTGAAGTGAGTTTGAGATGATGTTGAATGGTGGTTTTGGAATGACAGACTTTTGCTCTGCGTTTCTACAGACAAGAGCAAAAGCCAGGTGGAAGAAGCCTATGAGGAAAGGGTGGTTTTTGAATGCTTGTGGGCGGGGCTAGCTGAGGAGAGCATGAACAGGATTGGCTCTGACTAAGAGATTATTTTGCGACTTCAAATGGAGAGTGAATGTGGTGTCATGTGATAAAAGGTATTTGGTTATTAAAACTTCAAACTAGAAATTAGCAGTGATGATGATGATGATGATGATGATGATGATGAAGCATACACTTCTATTTTGAGGTTTAGAATCACAAACACATGCAGACACAGCAAGTTATAGCGATGGCAGAAGTGTGTTTACCACTTGCATACGACTGTATGCTTTTTCAGAAGAGGAAGAAGGACAACAGTGGAGTGCAGTATTCACAGTTAGTTACAGACTCATTAAATTATATTAGTGATTTTCTCTCTTGGCTTTATGGCCAAATTCAAGCATAGTCTATTTAAACTGGCAAACTATGTACTGCCATCACAAACCATTTAAACCTATTTAGATCTCTTTCTTTAATAGTAATAATTAATATATATATACACATATGCAACTCTGGTACTTGTAATACAATGAATTAGTCAAACAGTTTCTTGGACAGTTGGATTCATATAAACATCGCACAACATTAAAGCTTGCAATTTATTTTCATAATATATCCAAACATACGACTACATATTTACTCACACAACTCCTTGTGATATCTTTTTCAATTTTTCTGCAGTTACCTCTGTCTCAGCACAAAAGCATAAGGGGACTCATGATGAAAGGTTTTGTTTTTTTTTGCTTTCCCTTCCTTTCCAAGCCAATCTGTGCCTGTATATGGAATGTTCTCCTGACTCTATTTTGGTTTATGAACAGCAATATAAATAAAAGTCTCTGGAAGTACTAAGCCAGTGTTTAACGAGTGTTTTTGGGAAGGACGTGTCTTAATTAAATTAGCCTTTCAAAAGTCACTATTTGCACAATGGGGAGAAAAGCCGAAGCTGCTTTATCTACGTCAGCCGACTGGGCTAACTGCAAAGACCCCTACATAGTTCCTTGAAGATCTTAGTTCACGTTTGTCATAGAGGATAATCATGAGTGCTCTCAGTAGTAATGTATGGGCTGAGAAAGCACACTGAGTGAATTAATTATGCTGTTCTGTTTGGAGTTCTGTCCAACAATTCTGCCTTATACAAGGTTTCTCCTGTGGGTTCCTTTGCCATTAATGAAAAAACCGGTCCACAGCAAAAACCCATACTCATAAATCATGAATAAGACCTAAGTGTCATGGCTGAGAACGATAAGGTTTATTTTGTAATTGAGTGGGAGGGAAGGACTTTGTGTGCATTTCATTCTACAATGAACTACAATTCACTGCAAAATGATTTATTCACCTAAATATGCTGGTCAGACGTTCTGTACTGCATGTTAACATGGCCTGCTGATTTCTGCTTGCTTACAGTTTTTGTCCAAACCTTCCAGACGAGCCTTTGAATTGGTAAATTCAGCTACTTCAATGTGCATCCATTGCTGATGCATTCCACAGTTTACATAATCTCTATAGAAAAGCATTGCTAATAGAATGGGACACTCCGAAGCAGCCGCACATGTGCCTAAAATCATCATGTTCAATGCCAAGTGTAGTCTAGAGGGATATAAATCGCCCCAGCATTGCGCTGTGGAGCAGTGAACCTGTGCCCTCTGGAATAATGGAGTTCCATCCTACACCTTTGGGCTGAGCTGGAGTGGAGTTTGTGATTTAGAACTAATCATCCAACATCAGTATCAGACCTCACTAGTGCTCTTGTGGCTGAATGCAATCAAATCCTCACACCAACATCTAGTGTTAAGCCTCCCAGAAGAGTAGAGGCTGTTGCTGCAGCAAAGAGGGACAAAATGCGTATTAATTCCCTTGATTTCAGAAGAAACACTGAATGAGGAGTAGTCCACAAACTTTTGGCCATAGTGTACTTTATAATGATTTGAATTTGATAAGTTATTGTGTACCACCGTGTTTGACATCAAAACAAATGAAAAAAGGTAGAAATGCAGGTTTAAAATTGACATTTTGTTACATAACATAATTAATTATGTAATTAAATAGCATAGCAAGTGTTTTCTGTTTAATCAGTCGGTGGGGTGATGACTACAGGAGCTGGTATGCATGCGTGTCAGAATAACACATGACATCATGCAGCCAGTCAGATGCTCCACTAGTCGACCTCTGACCTCATCCTTTGCCACCATGAGCGTGCTGTCGTAAGACGACCCCCAAAATCACTCACTGAGCTAAAAATAAACTTCGGCCCACTCTTAATCCAGCCCAGCTGTGAGCTGTGTGTGTGTGTGTGTGTGTGATGAGGGGTGAGCAGAGCGTCTCCCGTGCCATGGGACGATAAAACATAGGGTTCCTGTTACACAAAAAGAAAAAAATGTTCCAGTTCAGGTTCTATTTCTGGAAATGTGATGATTAAGAAGACTGCATTTTTTATACCAACCACACTGCTATCACACTGCTCTGCACCTCTGAGGTACAAACCTCACCATACTATATGGTGAGAGTAGATAAGGTTATGAGCCTATCTGAAACACGTCAAGCCTTCGCTGAACAAAAAAACACTTTGCTTGAGGACGGAAGTTACTGAATGCTAAAGGGCCCGTATCACAGGAAAACATATTTTTAAACACAGAAGTGTTGATGTAGTAAGTGTTTACTAAAAATAAGTTAACACAACATCTACATGAAAGAAACTTAAATATGGCATTTTTTCTGCAACCTTTAGTAGAGGATGTGTTAACTTATTTTTATTTCAATCATTCATTCATTCATTCATCATCATAAACCGCCTAATCCAGATAGAGTTTATGATGGGAGCTGTTGGGAGAGCAGAAAATCCCAGATGACCCTGTCCCCCACAACTTCCTCCAGCTCATTCTGGTGGACGCCAAGCCACTTCCAGGCCAACTTGGAGATATAATCCCTTCAGCAGGTCCTAGGACGACCCTGGGGTCTTGTCCCTGTAGGCCGTGCCTGGTACACCCCCACCAGGAGGCGTCCAGGGGGCATCCAGATCAGATGCCCGAACCACCTCTACTGGCTCCCTCAATGCGGAGGAGTAGCGGCTCTACTCCGAGCTCCTCCCGGGTGACCGAGCTCCTCACCCTATCAAGTAGAGTGTAACCCGCCACCCTGCGAAGAAAGCTGCCACTTGTATTCGCAATCTCATTCGTTTGGTCATTACCCACAGCTTATGACCATAGGTGAGGGAGGGGATGTAGACTGACCGATAAACAGAGAGCTTTGCCTTATGGCTCAGCCCCCTCTTCAACACTACAGTCCGGTACAGTGACCGCATTACTGCTGCTGCCTGTCTCAGCCTGCGGCCGATCTCACAATCCCACTTCCCATCACTCGTGAACAAGACCCCAAGATACTTAAACTCCTCCACCTGGGGCAGGTCCTTTCCCCCTACCTGGAGTGGGCAAGCCATCCTTTTCTGGGCCAGGACCACGGACTCAGACTTAGAGGTGTACTTCAATCAACAAAAATGTAAATTGACCGGGGCACCCAACTTTTGCATAGGTCTTCAAATCCAGACCCGATACATCTAATTTTTGCCTTCAGAGGTGCTTGATTAGCTGAATGAGGGGTATTAGAATTGGGTTGGAGCTGAAACCTACTGTAAGGTAGATGCCCAGGAGGAAGATTGGTGACCACTGCAGGTTTTCATGTCTGTTGAGGAAGCTGCGTTTGATGAACTAACAGTAAAGCTAACACTAGAGCTATTCAGTGCAGCATTATGCTGAGGACACGACTGATATGAGATCTCTATTAGACCTCAGTACTATCAATGGCATGCATACACGCAGCATGCATGCAGTAATATTTCACCATGTTCATAATGTTTGTCCCAAGAAGTTAATCTGTCAGGCTAACTTTCAACAGAAAAATGATTAAAACTAATTTAGCTTGGTAAAAGTCTTAACATTGTTCTACAAGGTGATTTCACATGATATTAAAATGTGTTAGCAAATACAGTAATCCTACCGTAATCAGTAATACCTTAGAGCTGCTGTGTAGTAACATTACGCTGTGAGTACTGAGCTGTGGTCTTCAACAGAGTTCAGTCCAAAACCTTTTCAGCTTCAGGAATAAACTAAAAACAGAGACACCCTCAGATGATCAGGGCGGCATGTGTCTGAATTACATCCTCTTCAATAACACCTTTTCTGCCCCGGTCTCAGCTCTACAGAAGAAAAGACAATCAAAAAAAGTTTTTCTTCTCAGTAATGTTGCGCTCCATCTGAAGTTGGAAAGGCTAAATTATATATTTGAGTTAAATTAGATATTTGGCTCATTATTTCTCACACGCTGGACAAGAGAGAGAGAGGATCGATTTGATGCCCCAACAAAAATGGCAACCTAAACTAAAAAGTATGTGGACACTCATTGGACATCCCATTCCAAAACCATGGGCATTAATAATGACTGGCCCCCCACCTTTGCGGCTATAACAGCCTCCACTTATCTGGGAAGGCTTTCCACAAGATTTAAGAGTGTGTTTGTGCCCTGATGTTGGATTAGAAGGTCTGGCTCCCAATCAACAATCCAGTTCATCCCAAAGGTGTTCAGTGGGCAGAGGTCAGGGATTTCTGCAGGCCAGTGACACTAAACCATGTCTTCATGGCCCTTGCTTTGTGCACAAGGGCCCAGTTATGATGGAACCAAGCTTTTGGCACTAAGCATTCTAGCAGGCAGCGTTCTCCTGGCATCCGCCAAACCCAGATTCATCCATCAGACTGCCAGATAGTGAAGCATGATTCATCACTCCACAGAACACATTTCCGCTGGTCGAGTCCAGTGGCAGCATGCTTTACATCACTTCAGCAGGCCCTGGGCATTGTGTATCGTGATCTTAGGCTTTTTTGCAGCTGCTTGGCATTGAAAACCGGTTTAATGAAGATCCTGACTCACAGTTTTTGTGCTGATGTTACCTCCAGAGGCAGTTTGGAACTCTGCAGCGAGTGACGTAACTGGTTGGCAGATTTGTATGAGCTTCAACACTCAGTGGCTGTGAATTATACCTTCTGTCTGAGCTGTTGTTGCTCCTAAATGCCTCCATTTCACAATTTCACAAACTGACTTATGGAAAAGTTGGTGTCCTACATGCTATGTTTAAGGTTACTGAGCTCTTCAGTATGACCCATTCTACTGCCAGTGTTTCTGTGTGGAGACTGCATGGCTATGTGCTTGGTTTTATACACCTTTTAGCAATGGGAGTGGCCAGAACACCTGAATTCTAATTAGTAGGGACGGCCACATACTTGTGGCCATACAGGGTACTAGTAGAGGGATAGTGTCTATTTTTAATAATGAATAAGTATTTTGCTTGATTTATACAACATATTTGAACCCGAAATGTAACTGACCACATGAGCTCTACTTAGCATACTACTATCATACAACACTGAAGTTGTGCAGCAAGTGTCTACTATGTAGCCACTTCTCTGTTTTATGCTGAAATTTGATTTATGCAAGTTACTCCATGTCAGGGATAAGACAGTCACTGTGGATATGGACTTTTAGCACATTAAGACCCCAAACATAAACTGTGTAATGAACATTTATAACTACACCGATCAGGCATGTGGTGGTGGTGTGTTAGTGTGTGTTGTGCTGGTCTGAGTGGATCAGACACAGCAGTGCTGCTGGAGTTTTTAAACACCTCAGTGTCACTGCTGGACTGAGAATAGTCCACCAACCAAAAATATCCAGCCAACAGTGTCCTGTGGGCAGCATCCTGTGACCACTGATGAAGGACTAGAGGATGACCAACACAAACTGTGCAGCAGCAGATGAGCTATCGTCTCTGACTTTACATCTACAAGGTGGACTGACAAGATAGGAGTGTCTAATAGAGTGGACAGTGAGTGGACACAGTGTTTAAAAACTCCTGTGTCTGAGCTACTCGTACCAACACAACACACACTAACACACCACCACCACGTCAGTGTTACTGCAGTGCTGAGAATGATCCACCACCCAAATAGTACCTGCTCTGTGAGGGTCCATGGGGGTCCTGACCACTGAAGAACAGGGTAAAAGGGGGCTAACAAAGTATGCAGAGAAACAGATGGACTACAGTCTGTAACTGTAGAACTACAAAGTGCACCTATATAGTAAGTGGAGCTGATAAAATGGACAATGAGCGTAGAAACAAGGAGGTGGTCATTATGTTATGCCTGATCAGTGTATGTGTGCTATTGACAGTGATTTCTATGCTAATAAAGCTCACCAAGAGCGAATTAATTATGTTCCGTTTCAAGTTCATCCAACAGTCTTTAATTCTTAAAACGTGAGAACACTTCAGGTTTCTTACGTTGCTCCTTTCCAATTAAAGCGAAAGGTTCCACACAGTAAAATACATCAAAGTCTGTTATACTGACTTGAGAAAGATAAGGTTTATACTTTAGACTTTGTGTGCACTCTAAAAAGAACAATAATTCACTCCATCTGCATTAACATTTGGACGCTTTATCAAAAGAACCTCCAGTCAACATGTAATTTTGCCAAATCCAGTCCTAGATTTCTGCTGAAATGTCATGATGCTGATGCCAAGACAGAGAACACCGCATGAATACTGAATGCACTGGTAGCACAACAGACTGACGCTGACTTTATCGACTACATAACACTGTAGATATATCACTGTAGCTCTCGATATGCATATTCACTGTTGATTAAAATAATCTATACATCAATAAAACATCCTATAGATTAATCAGTTACTAAATAGTCATTAGCAGCAGCCCTGAATTCATGCAGGGTAATGTAACACACTGAACATATGACATTTACCTGTTGTCTTCTGTTGAGCATGATCATAAACTCATAAGGACATAATTTCACATCAATGGCTACAAACTGAGCCAGTGACGGGCACTAAAAAGGAACAGCCTGTTCTTTATCATCTTTCCAAAGGCAAAAAGTTAGCCTGTGATAAAAATGATCAAAATCCATATGAATCTTAACTGTTCAGACAAACTTTCAACCTATATCATGTCCATAACTGCCCCATAGCCGAGATGGAGTAGGCCCTAAAGTGAAGCGTAATGTCCTCCCCTTCCATCAACAGCATTCCAAAAATCCACTTCGCTCTGCCCTCAAAGGAACGAGCTGTGCCACTAGTCCCATCAGTAGTGGTGTACAGGCAGTAATCAGGCATCACATGACCAGCCGTAGTCCTCCATCCACAAGCAGAACCTGCCCTGTAATATAAGGTGACTCCAGGAGGAACAGAACAGCCTGTGCTACTTCCTCTGGCTCACCAAAACGGCCCAGTGGAATTCTCCTCCCGGCGTCCTCCTCCTTAAGACCCGCTGTCATGTCTGTCCGGATGAGCCCTGAGTCGGTAAGACAGAGGGGAAGAAAGAAAGAAGGCCAATATTCAAACGCGCAGCAGAGACATGAAGCCAGCAGTGAAATCAACAAAAGCATATTAGTTACCTTAGATTTACTTAATATTTTTAGAAAATGATGCCATTGTACACACTGGACAGTGGGCAAAATTGTAAGATTGTATCTTATTACATTTAAACTACAGATGCTAAATGCACCAAATTATCTTAAGTTCCTAAGTTCCTATTTTATACGTGTTAATTGAAATTTCAATGATAAACATAATCTTGAGATTCCCCTTGTAAAACATGAGCAATATGCAAGTAGAGGCATGATATGATTTATTTATTGATTTTCATTTTTCATGACTCATACAGAAAGATTAAAATGCTTCATAGTTAGATAATAGAAGGACAACGCTGATCCACTGCACTTTTTCTGGATTTTTAGCAAACAATAAAATGTCAAATAAACATCTGTTTTGGTAGTTGAACACATCTTCAATGCCCACTGCCTCTGTATGTCAGAAACTAATGCACATTAAAAAATGCATATTAACTATTGGCTGCGATGGACTGGCGACCTGTCCAAGGTGTGTCCTGCCTTCCGCCCAATAACAGCTGGGATAGGCTCCAGTACCCTACCGCGACCCAGAAGGATAAGCGGTTTAGATGATGGATGGATGGATGGATGGATGGATTAACTATTGGACACAATGACATTTCTTGAAACTATTAGGCAAACCTGAGATCTGAAATCTGGTTATCTGAAGCAGGTTATCATAGTGGTTCAAACGCCACTACAGAAGGTGGGTTAATATTCATCACTATCAGAATTATGAAAAGATAATATACACTGATTTCTTTCAGGAGATATTAGCACAGTTTAAAAATCAAACAAAGTGTTTTATTGCTCAAATGTAGCCCTGCCATCTTTCTACTCTCCCCCTCTTTGCAAATATCTAGATAAATGCATAACGTTTTCTCTCACTCATTTCATCAGTCATTGTTCCAAAAGTAAAATTTAGAACCAAGAGAATGTCCTTTTTATGCTCAGCAGTACTGAAACAATATAAATAATATAAATAACATAAACAATCTGCTTCATATTATGTGTGTTGTTATGCACTAAAATGTTTATTGAAGAGAAGAATGGAACACAAGAGCGCAAATGGAGAAGAGAAGAGAAGAGAAGAGAAGAGAAGAGAAGAGAAGAGAAAAGAAGAGAAGAGAAGAGCAAATGAAGAAGAGAAGAGAAGAGAAGAGATGAGAAAATGGAGAAGAGAAGAGAAGAGCAAATGGAGAAGAGAAGAGATGAGAAAATGGAGAAGAGAAGAGCAAATGAAGAAGAGAAGAATAGCGAAGAGAAGAGAAGAGAAGAGAAGAGAAGAGAAGAGAAGAGAAGAGAAGAGAAGAGAGGCTACCTGGAGCCACCAAGTTGACTCGAACACTTCGAGAGGCGACCTCTTTGGCCAGGGAGCGTGTGAGGCCCTCCAGGCCAGCTTTGCTGGCGCTGTACACACACTGACCAGCATTTCCCTTCACACCCACCACCGAGCCTGAGGAAACAGTCCATCAGTGTCCACTGATCATTTACAGGTCGATTCATTAACACAAACGCACAGGAAGCGGCTGTATTTACACACAGTCTAGGCTCCATTTGATAAATATTTCTCTAAGAACAAACCATCAGGCCTAAAGCAAAAACACCGACATATGAATCCAGCAAAAACATACAGTAGAGGAATGAATGTCTTAAATGAATGTCTCACACTGTTCACCAAGACTCACCACTGAGAACTGAGAGCTGAGTGGTAATCTATAATGATGCTCTGTTGCCACCTAGTGGCTATCAGATAAATATGCATGCATCTTCTGACTGTTTGAAATACTTGCTGCTGAAAAGTCATTTGGCTAAACCTGGCACATTTACATTATCAGGACGTAAAGTTGCTTAGTCCCTGCTAAAGAAACGAATATAGTGAAGCTTAGAAAAAACACTCTAGGTGAGCATAAAGAAGATTTTAGAAAAGGCAAAACAACACAAAAAATAAACTGGTCAGGTTATGGCTCACCTATGTTGACAATAGCACCCCCTTTGCTCAGCATGCTCCGTAGCGCCGCCCTGCAGGTAAGCATGGAGCCAAGCAGGTTGGTGTGAAGAACAGACACCATGTCCTCAGATTTACTCCTTAATAATAACGCATCTCTGAAAAACATACAAAAAATCGAATTAAAGTAAAGACACTTATGACTCAGCTGGCCTAATGTTCTACTTTTCACCACACAACAAAACAACACGTCTTCAACACGTCTTCTTATGCTACGGACCAAAAACAACAAACGCCGGAGTCTTCTCTTACACACTTCCTCACCTGTTGATGCCTGCTGCGTTCACCAGATATCCCACAGGACCACAGGTCTTAGTGAGGGTCTCAAACGCTCTCTGGACCTCTTGTTCTCTAGAAACATCACAGCTGAGGCCTAAATGCTCCCCTGTAGTTTAACAGACACAACAGAGTCACTTAAAAGAGTAGTTTGTCCAAAACTGCTGACATAGTAAACAATAACCCAACTCTAGAAGTTACACTATATGCCCAAAAGTTTATAGACACCTGCTCATCCAGTGCCCACCCTTTGCTCTAGTAAAAGTCTCTATTCTTCTGGGAAGGCTTTACAGTAACTGTCGGAACATTCCTGTGAGGATTTGATTGCATTCAATTAGGAGAGCATTAGTGAGGTCAGCTACTGATGTTGGATGATTAGTTCTGGATCACAAACTCGACTCCAACTCGTCCTAAAGGCACTGATGGAGCTCCATATCTCCAGAAAATGCAGTTCCACTGCTCTACAGCCCAGTGCAAGAGAGCTTTATATCTCTCTAGCCAACAGATGGCACTAGACCACCTTAGGTTCATGTACTGCTGCCCCAAAGCTTCACATTCTATTGGCAATGCTTTCTATGGAGATTAGACAAGCCCACCTATGCATGTGAACACCCGTGTCAGCAATGGGAACACGTGAAGGCAGCTATATTCAATATTAAGAAGGTCGAGATTTTTCGTGGACATAATGTTTGAACTAGCATAACTGCAGCTTCATAAGACCTCATATCTGCATCTTTATATTTTCAGTAAAACAATAACAAAATCTCTATGGGGAAAACAACTATGTGTATCGAGAACAATTGTGTTTGTTACATGTTTAACATATATTAAGGGCAGACAGTAAAACGTAAAATAATCTTTGCACAAAACTGAAATGCTTCATAGTGACAGACAGATGCACCTCCAGGAAGAGAGTCTGCCGTGGCCTGTGCTGCTTCCAGGTTTCTGGACACCACCACCACCCTGTGTCCCCTTTCTGCCAACAGCCAGGAAACTGCACGGCCGATGCCACGGGAGCCCCCAAACACCACACCCACTCTGGACATCGCCCCCTACAGGACAAAAAAATATATATATTTATATATTTCTTATACTATACAACATAAGAAATGCAATTGTAAAAAAACTATTATTTCTCACAGTTGACTGAATTCACCTCTGTATCTACGCCTTCTAAATGACAGTAGAGAATAAGTTATTAAATTGTCACGGTTTTCATGTTGTTTGTTTGGGTTCAGAGCATGGGTTGCATGTTTAAGACCAAATCATGAGAATTGGGTTGGATGTTAGAATTCTCTGAGTTAACTGAAGACACAACCAAGATGACACAGGGATGCACTGATTCAACGTTTTCTCCGCGATGCTGATTAAGGTATCTGAACTATACTCTATTAGCTGACACTGAGTACCAATCTGATACCAGTGCTCTGTTAAGACCCCTGAATTTTCCTCTCACTGATGCGAGCAATCTTTTATATTGTCAGACCACTTTGAAAACAAATTTTCAAGATGACAAACTGTATGGTGGATTTAACTGTACCTCTGTTTGATCACACTCTAACCCTTTGCAAATAAAAATTCACAAATATAGAGTAGAGGCTATTGTGCTATAGTGGAGATGGCCATTTTTGAGGATTGTGGATGGTTTTAACAGCACTGATACAATTTTATAACAACCATGACTAAGAAACAGTATTGGATGTGAATCAGTCACATCTGTCTAACATCTGATCTTTAATAAGGTCAGTATTGGGGATAATAATGAATCATGATCTGAATCAGAAGCATAGCTGAATCTTCTTAAAAATGAATAAAGGGATTGCAGGCTTTTTTTGCTATACAATACAGAGCTCTGCAGGAAAAAAACAGACACCAGTGACAACACAATCAGTATGATACAACTGACAATACAGTTATCTTGTCCAATCATCTAGAGTTTGTAAAATGAGGCATCTAAAAGGGGTAAAAAGGGAAATTTAACTGAAAACATTTGCATACAAAAATCACCATAGAAGCCTCTGACTTGTTTGACTACTGCTATTATGGTTAGTTTGTAATCATTGAGGTCAGCAAAGGTTATAATGATTCTTTTGGACAGAGTGAATGGTCAGGAAGTGCACTACTGAAGTGTTCAATATAACGCTGGTGGCACTGACAGAAATCAATGCTGCAATGTTGTCCTAATGTATCAGAGTCTTGGACGTTATTTAAGTTATTTAATTATTAATAAGGTTTCCTGAGTACTGCTACTGTTACTGTCTGCTAAAAGAATGTCTTATAAACATGGCAGAGCTTGTTTCAACCGAACTGTCTTGTTCTGTTTTTTTTTTTCTTAAATTCCCATCAAAGGGAACATTATACTAAATTACATTAACAAGAAAATGAAACTATTTATTTAGATCTTGATGTATTTTTAACTGATAAACAACCATCCAGAGTTTCCTCTGAAATCAAAGGTATTAACAGGGAGTTTGTTGCCCTTTGCTGCAGTCACAGCTTCTATTCTTCTAGGAAGGCTTAACACTAGATTGCTGTGAGGATTTGATTGCATTCGGCCACAGAAGCATTAGTGAAGTCAGGTACTAATGTTGGATGATCAGTTCTGGATCACAAACTCTACTCCAACTTACCCCAAAGGTATCGGATGAAGCTGTGTCACTCCAGAGGAGCAGCTCTACTCCTCCACAGCCCAGTGCTAGTGGGCTTTATAGCCCTCTATCTGATGCTTGGTATTGGCTATGGAGCCTTAGGCTCACATGCAGCCGCTCCAGAGCTCACGCACTTAATAATCTGATCATAATTTCTGCAGTTATCCAATTATTCAAATGGTAATGTAATCACCATATTCCGATCTAGGAATCTGATTAAGAAATCCGATAAAGAGAGCTGGATTTGAGCTCAGTAATCAGATTTCTCAGTGCATGTAAACTCTTACTCTGATTTCTTTCGGATTTTTCAGTCCACACATATGTGAGAATGCTGGTGGTATTGCAAATAAGCAGGCAGCGTTTCCGCAAGACGGCAGCAAAACGCTTCTGGAGCGGTGCTGAAACCAAACATGAAATGAAGGATTTAAATATTCTTCATCTTCTAGATGATGTATGTTCATATTTTCAGGTAAAGTGGCACAATGTTTAAAAAAACCTGCAGCATGAAGTTCGAGTTTTACGCTACGTTTACGTCACGTCTTCTTCTGTGAGTTTATTGGCTGGTTGCAAAATAGAAATCTGATTACTGCCCGACTCACGTAGATCTGGAGTTTCCACATTATCTGATTACTCAAGAGCATGTAAACAAGTTGATCTGATTACTGACAAAATCTGATTTTCTGCAGTTACTGGATTATTGAGTGGTCTCAATGTTTTTCTATGGTGATTAAAAAAGCTATAGGGTGTGCAGAAACTGAAATCACCAATCAGATAGGGGGGTCTGGATATTTTTGGACTATAGCGTACACTGCAGTTAACTGTCATGGATTGGACACCCCAGGGTAAAGTGCATAAAACATAATTGACCTAAAAACAAACCACTTAGCATCAGGAAAATATCGTTCATAATCTATCAAATAAAAAGATTGCTTAAACTGAAAAGCAATATCACAGCATATCAATATTATGGTAAACAATATATCACCCAGCACAAGGTCATTTAAAAAAAAAAATCAGTCTACCTTTTAGTGTAGGCCAAAGAAAAAAGCCACACAGTGAGCTATAATTGAGGAAAACTGATATTAAGCAGTGTCACAAGATGCAGTGCGAAATGTCACTGAGGTTGCATATATTTACAGTGCTTCTTAAATATTAATAAAAGTTTTAAAAAAGAAATTGGGTAAAAAGGAGCTAAATATGAGAGTTGAACACTATACCGCCAGCTCTCAGTGCCAGTTCACCGTCATGCTGCCAGTGCAGAGAAAGTGAGTTGACACGGTCGCTGGCAGTGACGGCAGTGACAGTGAGGAGGACCGCGACATTTCTCCAGTTACACCTGAGCTCTGCTAGGCTGCGCTGTCGGACTCACTTTGTTATCTTATATTTCTACTATTCACCACTGTTCGCTTAACAGCAGCTTCAGTCATCCACGGAGAACCATCCTCGCCTTAAACACGCCTGGGCGCCGCCATACTGGACCAGCTGTATCCTAGCCCCGCCCCTGTCTGCGTCACGACCTACTCCGCCCCTATTGGTCCGCGCACGCCGCGTGCGTAGCGTTCTTCACGCACTCTACGTAACTAACTTACTCGGTTAAAATGGCGGAGCTCAAAGAAGGGGACACAGTGCAGCTTCACCAGGAGGACGCCAATATTAAAGGCAAGATAATAGCCATTAATCCACGATATCACAGCTGTAACAGAGTTTTCTATTTCTCTAAAATTACATGAGTTATGTCGGTGCCCTGTTGTTGCACTCAACGCGCTTCCAACACGACTTTTAAACTGCAGAAGTAAATATGGGCCTCCTCACGGAGCTCCACCACAGGACCTAGATGTAAATAACGTAAACAATAGAAACAGATTTGTATCTGAGTGTATGGTTGCTTAGAACACAATCATTCACTTCCTGTTCACTGTTGGGAAATGTTCAGAGATGCATTAAACTCTTGCAGCACAGAGAACAATGCAGTTCGATTGTACTGTGTTGTTGTGGTCTAATCGCGGAGCTCCGCAACAGGGCCGTACACACACACACACACACACACACACACACACACACACTCGCAGCGGTTTTATTGCCCTTTGCTTATGAGACGCATGGGGGCGCAATAGTGGTAATACGAAACGATGTAAGCGTTTACGAAAAAGAATTTTCTTTAAAATGGTTAAATGTCCTGTTTGAGAGACGAAAGCATCTTCTGCACTTCGCCTTATGACTTCCTTTTTTGTTGTAACGTGGGACAGTAACTCTCAGAGCATTAATGCAAACGCCCAGCTGTTCTTTTTAACATTGTGCATGATATTCTTTTGAATTTGTTGTATATTGTGGCGGTTTATAGTGTGTGTGTATACAATTTCTAAATGTGTTTTGTTTAAGTTTTAGTTGAAAGGGGAATTCCACCAATATTTCAAAGTTTCTGAATAATTCCCTCCTTAAGATGTAAATAGAGGGGTTTCACGTAAAATGGTTCATTGTAGAGAAACTTACAGTGAACTGGTTACCACCACCACCACTATTTCTTTACCGTGGTGCTGATGGGAACCAGGGAGCAGGATGTCTACAACACAAATATAGCCATTTTATTTACTATCTGAACCCATCAGTGAACCTACATATGCCTTCTGAGTTTTTATATGTAATGTTAATGACTATTTTGCCCCACAGTGCCCTACAGGTACTTCTCTCACATGAATTTATTAAAATACATGGACAAAAATACATTTTAGGCCAAGACTTTATCACAAAACTCATTAAACACCACGTCAAACATCAGGCAGCATATATCTAACCATTTCATGTAATATGTTTCTGTGAGGGAGCTTTTAGAGGTGGACGTCTGGTTCCTATCACCACCACTGTGAACAATTCTGACTCTGCAGATTTCTCTAGAGCGGAGCATCTCACACCAAACCACTTTGAATGGCTTTGTTTACAACTAAACCATTATATTATATTATATAATTATGCAGGTTTTTTTTTTTGAAAAATGGGTGGAGTTCCCCTTTAATGTAACGTCCTTTATTTTATGCACAGTTGTGGACGATCCAGTGAAGATGCAAGCAGCATCTGAAGAAGAGAGTGTGCAGCTTCCTGTTCATGAAGCCACATCCACTGACGTTGTGAAAACTGAGCACAGCCGTGAACAGACCACCGCTACTGCAAGTTCTGGTAATGTGTGACTGTCTGAGCTGACCCTTATATTTAGTTTCAGAATTTTTTTTAGGATTACTGAATAACTCAGTTGGAATTCACACTGTCTTTGTTTCAGAGAGACACGTGTCCATCCAGTCTACGCTTGAAGGCTTGGAGATGCTGGTGGACTTGAATGGAGGTAACGAAGACTTTCACAGTTGATTTCAGATCAATCTTTATGTGTAACTAGAGATGCACAACAATTTTGGAATCATATCACTATTGGCAGATATTTGCTTAAAATAATATAGGCATTGGACAGATGTTTAAATTTCAAATATTGTTCAAATATTAACTGATATTTGATCAAAAAACATCATTTTCTTCATCTTACAGTGTTTGTAACCATCTGCAAATAAATGTTTGTAATATTTATACATCTGCATCAGCAGATATGTATGTGAAAAATATCAGATATTGGCATCGATCCTCAATTCTCTAGTTGTAACCATTACTCGGCTCTGACATTTGAGGCTGTGTTTGTCTGACTGTCTCACAGCTGGTAGGAAGTCTTGTCCGTTATGTCCAGAGGAGAAGTTCAAGGCTTGTTACAGCCACAAACTGAGACGCCACCTGCAGAACCTACACTGGAAAGTCTATGTGGAGTTTGAAGGTTTGTGTTTGCATCAAAACCGTGCTGCATATTTATGCATAGCAGTGTGAATCCAATGGACTTTTGAAGATGAAATTGAGTGCGATGTGTGATGTACTAAGGAACGTTTGAATGTTGACCACGCATGTTTGCTTTTCTGATTCTGACAGGTCAAAGGATGTGCATTTGTCATTTGCCCTGCAGACAGATGAAGTCCAGCCTGGGATCAGACCAGGTGAACCTCTTCTTATCTCTAAAATAGTAACTTTACAATAATGTTCTTAACTTTTAATGTAAGTTAATGTAAAGAGGTTTTATTCCAAGTGATGATGGATCATTTCTGTTGATCCATTTGTTATGATATTTGCGCATAATGTAAAGGAGGGTTGCTGTATTCCAGGGGTCGGCCACGTGTGGCTCCGGTGCCGCATGCGGCCCTCTTGTTGCCCTGTTGCGGCTCCACAGCAGAATTAGATTTTTAGGTAAAAATAAAATCTGCTCTGCTGATCTTTCTAACACAGTTTTAACAGTAAATGGTCTTAAACGCTGGAGTTATAACTGCTTGTTCATCCTTTAACCCTAAAGGTTGGTGACCGACAACAGTCTCGCCTAGGTAGTAGCTAACAAAAAGGCAAAGAGAAAGATTTAAGATGAACATCAATAATTTGGAGACAAATAGACATATTTGCATTTATAATCACTCCAGCTGGTTTCCTGATGTGTTTAATCTGCAACGAGAAACTGTCAAACACTAAAAAGTCAAGAAGCTGAGGTTAGTTTCTCCCTCGCCAGCTTCTTGTTTGAATTGTCCCGTTCCACCTTAAATGGTGCAACAGTTGGCTACATAGTTAACTACATTCTTTAAGGTGGAATGGGAAAATTCGAATGAGAAGCTGGAGAATGAGAAACTGACTTCACCCTTGTAAATAATCAAACGTTAAGATACATTTTACAAGAAACTATTGTTTTTTTTATCTGAAAAGTTTCCTGCTGGAGATGCGAGAAAAGTAGCTATAGCTGAGCTAAAGCTTGAAGTAGAGCAAAGTAAGTCTAATGTTGTAGCCTATACTACAACATTAGCACATACTGAGACATATTTACAGCCAAGATGGTGAAACATCAGTTCAATAAAATGCATATGAAATGTTGTGGCTCCCAAAGTGGTTAGATTTCTGTTGAAACTTGACGAAATGGCTCTTCTTAACATTGGGGTTGCCGACCCCTGCTGTATTCAAATGATGTAGAAAAATACATTGAAAAAACATGGAGATACATGTTCTTTATTGGACAGCGACGACATGCATTTAATGCACTGCTCACCATAAGGTGGCAGCCTAGACTAAGAAAAGGCAGATGGAGCTCATATTAGGGACATACAAGTCATTGTCTAATTGCATTGTTTGACATGGATTAGCCAAGCTAATTATACATGATTGTGGTTAAGACTGAGTGAAGTTGGACTCATTTGATCTTTTGTCCCCTACAATATGTGTGTTCCTCAGAGTCAAGCCCGGCTGGTGGCACACTACCACTGTGTGGTGTGCTCAGTCACCATTGCCCGAAAGACGGACATGATCAGCCATCTCAAACGCCACATTAACAAGGGCGAGACTGAGGCCAGTTATTCAGGCACCTCAGATGTACTGTGTGAAGAACCCGGTAAGGAGCTTCTCCACGTGACTCTGTTCTTCTTGCACAATATATTGTTTTTTAATCATTGTTGCAACATGGCATTTGCAGTAATGACATCACAGGATGCCGTATGCAAATGAGCCTTCTAACAAACAACTACATCTTTAACCAAGTCTCGAGGTTCACTAATGTGTCTGTAATATTGCAATGTATATCACATTAATGGGATCAGGTGTATTAGAGCAAGGAGAACTAACTTTACAAAGAGAAGAAGATTATTCTGGAACTACTCTTCTACTGTTTGTATCATTCTATCGCTCTTTCTCTCTGGAGATAGCAATGATAGCAATATACCACATTTTCTTTTCCCAGTTAAGTTACCCTTATTAGTCCCACCACAGGGAAATTTCACCTCCACATTTGAACCCATCTGTGCAGTGAAACACCAAATACACGCTAGTGGACACACACACACTAGGGGGCAGTAAGCACACTTGCCCGGAGCAGTGGGCAGCCCTATCCAGGGAGCAGTTGTGGGTTGGGTGCCTTGCTTAAGGGCACTTCAGTCACGTACTGTCGGCTCAGGACATCGAACCAGTGATCTTCTGGTCACAAGGCTGGTTCCCTAACCCCCAGCCAATGACTGCCCCCAGATGTAGCTCTGACTCTGATATTGAAATTGGCCAATACACAATATTTGATCTTTAAAAAATAATGACGCTTCAAAATGAGCAATTTTGGATTGAGGAAATTTACTTAAGATGAGCTTATAGTTGGCTGTCAAACTCAAATTACTCAAACACCCCCCCACGACCACCACCACAGGTGGTGTTGTACTAGTGTTGTACTGGTTTCAGTCCTATCTTGGGCTCAGCATCATATGCACTCGGTTGTTCTCGGTCTTGGGGTAAGCGGGACTCAGAAAATCGTTCTCGAGACTAGCTACTTGCAGTGCCTCCATCTGATGTGATTGAAAACGGAACATTTTTTCTATCATGATTTGAATATTATAATATATGATCAAATATGATATTATTTATGAATATATATCACATTTAATGAATGTATAATGAACTTCAGATTTTTTAGATATTCTGAAAAAAAAATCCTAACCTGCTCTCAATCTTGTCCTAGTCTCGCCACTCCTGGTCATATTCTTGACTTGAGTTACTCCAAAGTCTTGGTCTTGATTCGCTCTCAATGTGTCCAGGTCTCAGTCTTGACTCAGACTCAGTGGTCTTGACTACAACACTCTAAATCTCTCTCTGTCTTTTCTCTCAGTGCCAGGCGGACAGGTCTATGAGATCATGAAAGAATTAGGCACCAATGTGCAGCTCATGCCCAACCACAACACACCCCAAAAGACAGACACCTACTTCAACCGCAAGATGAAGACCAACAGGTACAAGAATCTCTTTGAACACTGTTACGCTTTAATAACTAATATTGTCATTCGTCTCTATTTCAGTCATTATTTTTTGAGGGCCATGCGGTATAATAAACACAAATTCCCTGTCTGTACAAGCTGAGGCTTTCTATTTTTTATTTTAGGCAGCTGGTGTTTTGCTCTCTTGCGGTTCTTGCTGAAGAAAGGAGTCCACTGGAATGTCTCGATGCCTTCGGAGCCACAGGTCTCAGTCTCCATTGCTTTGGTTAATGCGTAATTACAGTCCAAGACCTTTAGATTGTGCATATAGTGTCCTCTACAGAAAGTCTAAATGAGGATCTGGTCTCATTATTCTCATACCTTTTAGAATCTCTCATAATTTAGAGGTTTTCTGTCTAGATTATGATTTGTTAGAATTCTTGATACTTGAGATTCTGGTCTGTGATGGATATTGCTCAGCTTGTTTTAAATTCCTTTCAAACACGGTGTCTGCTCATCATTCCTGTGCAGGTATAATGGGCTTGCAGTGGGCCAAGCACCTTCGCAACGCTGTTAAAGTGACCATAAACGATATTAACGAGGCCTGTGTGAAGATGATCAAAGAGAACTGCCGTCTGAACCACATCCGTACAGAGGGGGGTCGTGCGCCCCGGCAGGTGGAGGGAACAGGGGAGAGCGACAACCCCATTGCCACTGTGGAGGTCTCCAAGATGGACGCTAACGTCATTATGCACCTGAGAGCTTTTGACTACATGTGAGAAGCACAGGCATAGAAAATCAGCCAGGTTTCATGAAAACTACATGATAAATACGAGTTGAATCGAACATTTTACATCATTTTTAAGCTTTTTAGAAATTTAAACCAGTATTTTCTATATACTATATATTATTATGTTATTACAATACTATATAACTCTAAGCGTGTGTATATGCTAAGTTATTTTTGTCAAATTCAGATTCATTTCATCATGAACTTTTTATAACGTCAGACATCTAGACCCATTTGGGACATCAGTGAACTATCTGGATGCTGCGTTCCGAAATGTGCGCAACCTGGGCATTGTGTCTGTGACCTCGACGGACACTGGCTCTCTCTACTCCAAATCTCTGAATGTGACGCTCCGCCATTACGGCTGCCAGATCGTCAGGACAGAGTACTACAGAGAGCTGGCAGCACGCATGGTGGTTGCCTCCATAGCCAGGTAAGATGACCTGTTGGTTAGTTTACCACTACTAGAATCACTGTAACCAGTTACACTTCATAGGTTCAGAGACCTGAAAGTAGTAAATCAGCCAGTAGTCAAATTGACACAATTTCTCCCTTTTCACCCCAAATGTAGTCAGTCAGCAAAGATATGTTTGATGTCTGAAGTTTGCTTCTTTAGTGTTGTAATGGTGCTGCCAGGTTAATGTAGCTAATAATTAATGAAGGCTAAGAGTCATATGGAGATGTTTGAATACATCCAGTTAAATTAACGTTTTGTTGATTTTGTGAGTGAAAATAAGTTGACACAAGCTGTACAGAGAACAAACTCAATTATGAAATTTTTCTGCAAATTTTAGTGCATAATTTCTATTTATTTGCTGTGTTTAACATATTGGAAAAAATAAAACACATTGTATTAAATGTCCCATAACTTGCACAGGGCACATTTTATGTTTTATTTTTTTTTCCAAAATGTTAAATTCAGCAAATAAACTGTAATTGTGCATTAAAATGTGCAGAGGTGTGTTGTCTGTAGACATTGTGTACTTTTTTCACAAATCAACAAAACATGTAATTTGACCAGGGGTGCCCAAACGTTTGCATAAAACTGCATGCCTAAATCAACACACACACTTCTCAAACCATGTGAAGTTAGTAAGTAACTTTTATTTATAAAAATCTGACAGAAGAACACTGCATAGCTGAAAATGACACGCGAAAGTTGGAGGCCATGTTCTCTATTTGTAGAAATGATGTGTTAATGTACGTGTGTGTTTGCAGGGCTGCAGCGCGCTGCAATAAAGGCATCGAGGTCTTGTTGGCCGTGGCTCTAGAACACTTCGTGCTGGTGGTGGTGCGGGTGCTCCGAGGTCCCACACAGGCTGATGAGTCGGCCAAGAAGCTACGACAGCTGCTCCACTGCCAGTGGTGTGAGGAGAGAGTGTTCCTCAAGCCGGGCAGTATGGTGGAGGGTGAGTCCAGTAATAGGACCACCGTAAAAGCTTTGCTTTGTACAGTAACTTCTCTTGTGCTGTAGGACTCAGTAAATCTTCAGTAATGGCACTACATATAATAAACTTTTCTATGGATACATTGTATTTATAACTGCTTTTCATTCATGAAATGCAGTTCTTCTCAACATAAAACAAGAAAAGAAAGAGTAAATAATACAGAATATAACTACAGAATAAATTCAAATTTAATAAAACACCATACAGTAAACCCAGTATATGAGTTTGCTTTTAAAAGAAGACACAGCTGTGACAAGTCATTATGTGGTTTTTGTGATCTCCAGAGAATCTGTACAGGCAGTTGCCCTGTCAGTGCCATGGCAGCATGCCGGGGAAGACTGCTGTGGAGCTCGGGCCTATCTGGTTAGATGCTGTTCCTAATTTTCATGCTTTCATTCCAACACCAGTTAAAGAGCTTTGGTTTCAAATCTTTGTATTGAAGGAATTTATTGTTGTGTAATGTGTTTTAGTGCTCTGTTATATATTATTATATGCAGTATTGTGTGTGCATGTTGTATTTTAGGCTGCCTATTTTTGTTTATCCCTACATGGTCATGTTTGTCACACCTGTCATTTGTCATGTATAAGCTGGGTCTAATCCAGGGTATCTTTTAGGTCAGGCTCTCTCTTCAACACTGGCTTTCTCAGGCGCATGCTAGTAGCAGCGGTACAGCACAGCATGGAGGATATCCAGCCTCTAGTGAAGACTTTAATCTGTGAAGCTGACTGCACCACACTCAAGTCCTTCTCTGTCACTGGTCACTCAGTTCTAGCCAATCAAGGTACGTATGATGGCAGCCTCAGCCCTAGTACCTTGCCCAGTAGCAGTACCAACATGGCCCACTGGGGGGCAGCAGCCCACAGGTTGAAAACCACTGCTGTACATGTTTAAATAAAATCTGTTCGCTGCCAGTTGAGGATCTAGTTGCTCCTTTCCATGAAGGCTTTGCTGGGAATTGTCGATGCTCATTGCTTCCAAAACTTAAACATCCTCTGAGGGCAGATTTGAATCTTATTAGCGCAATGTTTTCATTTAATAATAAAAATAATTGTTCGGTTTAAGTTGTTTTGACTTTAGATGGTGATTCTGAATAAGTTTTGGAGAAGGACAGAGAACAACCTTAACATTGCTTCCAGTTACAATGCAAAGTGGCACTAAGACTGTTATATATTAATAATAAATAATGTTTTAAGCTATATATATATATATATATATATATATATATATATGATGGAAAACTACAAATGAATTTCAGTTTTTTTTTTTTGTTTGTTTTTTTTTTACATAAATGTCTCATTCTTTACTCAGACTTGACTTTAGCAATCTTGACTAAAACACTAGTTACATGGACTGGTCAGTTAAATACAGCTGATTACAAAATTAGGACTATAAACTGGATTCAAGGTTTCGAGTTGAAGACTTCTGCTCTGTAGCTTCCTCAGTGGCTACTTGACCTCTGAGCCACTCTTGGCTGAATATTTTTGGCTAGTGGACCACTCTTAACCCAGTGGTGATTCTGACATGTATAAAAACCTCCACTGCTGTGTCTGATACATTTGCGCAACATCCACCAACATAAGAATGGTCCACCACCCAAATAATATCTGGTCAGCGGTGGTGCTGTGGTGGTCCCTTTCCATTGATTGATGGGGGAGAATGGCTGACAAATTGTGCAGCAACAGATGAGCTACAGTCAGTATGTGTGAACCTACAAGGTGCACATGTAAGGTTGGTGTTCCTGATAAAATGTCCAATGAGTTTCAGTACAAAGTCTATGTTTCTAATAAACTGGTGAGCCACTGTATATTAGTAATTCTTATACTCAGTCTGTGAATCTTAATTACATTAAGCTTATTTTTTTCCTTTTTGTCTAAAATAAACAACTGTTTTGTTTCAGATGTCTAGATATATTAATTCAGATATTACAGGCTATTCCATATTTACTGCTGAACTGCTCTGCTCTGGATGAATTGCTGTTGAATTTGCTGAACAGTGCTCCCGTTTTGTCTCTTGGCAGTGGAGTGTGGTGTGGTCATCAAAACTTTACAGAAGGTGGAGGAAGCGGACACCGCTGACCAATCAGGTAGTAGAAGAGTCACACAGGTTTCATGTGATATTCAGATACTGTGGTATCACATTTTCCATTGTGCTGTTTAAACTTCAGGCAAACAATTTTGAACAATGTTACAAGAGACTGAATTCAGAAGAATCTTTCTGATCAATTCATCAGGGATTAAAGGGGACAGGAAGCATTTTTTATGCTTTATATTTATCAGTTTTATGACATAGAACTAAGTGCAAGAGTGTTCAGAGTGATGCTCACACTACTATATACTACCATACAACTATGGTTGGCACTATGGAGTGTCTGTCTGGACCACTGAGGTCCAATCCCGTTTCACCCCTTGCCCCTACCACTTAGTCCTCAGCCCTCTGTTTTGCGCATTCATGTCTAGGGGTAGGGTGTCCCAATTTTTGTTGAAATAGAGGGGGAGGGTGAAGTGTTAGGGCTAAATGGCCCTCCAAATGGAGGTTTTTCAGAGACTCCAAACTGAGTGTTATGAGGAAAAAAACGGCAAGATGGCTGTGCGAGCAAGAGACCAAAGAAACACACAAATGTGGGAATTTTCTCCTTTAGAAATTACGATAACCACTGTATTATCTTAGTTTAGTGTCGTTTCAGTGTATTATGGTTGTTTTCTTCATAACAAGCATAAAAAATTACTAATAGCATGCTAATGTCTCGGTAGCTAGCTAGCTAACTTTCCCGTTCCACCTTAAATAGTCCAGCAGTTCTGATGCCTGAAGCGCCAGAATGTAACTGCTGCACCATTTAAGGTGGAACGGGAAAATTTGAACAAGAAGCTGGTGAATATCTGACTTCAGCTTCATATCACCAAAGAATTAAAAAAAAAGTCTTGTACTTTGAAAACATATGATGCCCTAAATGTAACTAAATGTCGCTGAACTTTACCCTCCTCTGCTATCACTGAAGACAGGCCGGGTCGCCGACAGAGCAGCACCAGTAGCTGTTAATGAAGCAATTTTTTATTATTATTTTTTTTTTTTAATTTGAGGGTTCCATTTCGTAGGGCAAGATGTCAACCACTACCCCTTGTAACTCAGTTCCAAGGGCTTAGGGTGACACTCGAAAACAAGGGGTAGGGGTAAAAAGAAGAAATTGGGACGGAGTGTCTGTCAGGACCATAGCAACAGTTCGGCTCCATACAGTAACGACATACCAACCAAGTAGACCTACATGGCAGACATGTCTGATAAAATTGCCACTGAGTGTAGGTACGAGGTCGCCTGTGCTATACCTGAATATAGACTATATCTAGGAAATGTACAGATACATTTCCTAAGTAAATTGTTCGTTCAGTTTCACCAGGCAGGAACACTGTTTTGTAGATCAGCTGTTAGAGATAAGTCAAAAGATAACTACTGCTCTATTTAGCTTACAGTGTCTTGTAAATATTTACTTAAAAGACTGAAGAAACAGAAAGGAATCTCTGTGTTTTTATGCACTAAATACCAAACTAACCCACACAACTGTGAACCGTGGAGCTCATGGGCTTTGTAGATGGAATTCCTCTGATTTCTATGCCTTCTGATTTTTGTTTTTAACACAGATTTTTCTCTCCACTCAGGTAAAAGGAAGAGTGAAGAGCCTAGTAATGTGGTGAAAAAGCTGAAATCAGATGCTTCACTGGAACACCCTGCCTTCTACTACAGCATCCATCGCCACAGCATCCGTGGCATGAACATGCCCAAGTGAGTCTCGTCTTACCTCACTGATCCTTATTGTCATCTCATGAGTATTACTCAGTTTTATGTGCCATATAGAATGTGTATTATAGTTTATACCAGGGGTGTCAGACTGAGTTTCTTCTGGGCCACAGCTCTGCAGACTTCATCATTCTGCCTCAGTAAACACAACTGATTCAACATACCAGCTAGTTAGCAAGGCCTTCAGGAGTTTGAATTAAGAAGCTTATCTCTGCAGTTCTGGCAGAAACCCAGTTTGATGCTCTTGTTTAAACAATCTATAAACGGAACTTGTTCTTGTCTGTTGAAAGACAGGCCACCTTAATATTCAACAAAACAGTGTAACACAATAACTGAAATTACTATATATTGTCCATGTAAAAGTAACAGTCTTTTTTAGTCTCACTCAAGAACTGTTTTGTACTTTTTTTGTCCACCACAGATTTACAGTTTGGAATCACTGTTTTCAATAATGTAAAAGTACATTTTTGTAGATACATGTACAAAATAAATCATACTAGTGCTTTTGCACAGTGTTATAGGTTTCAAGTAAATCAAATGACTGGATAGATTGATGATTCCTCCTAGAGGAAGTTATGAAATGTCCAGAATAATATTTGAAAAGTGATCAAATAAAGTTGACAATAAACTACTATGCATATCGTTGCTGTCCAGAGAAAACCATGTATGCTTATTTGTCAGTTTCAACACACCAGCTGTCCTTTACATTGTGTAAAAATTTCATGATGTGTGGACCAAAAGAAGTGCTCTAAAATAACTTGGAATAAAATCTCTTTACTTTGACTTACATTGAAAGCTAAGAAAGTTTTACCTTCTCCTGCAAAGTTACTATTTTGGAGATACTTGTTTTTCTTTGGATAGTGGTGATATGTTATTACACTTTAATAGCTCCTTATTGAAACGTTGAAATAAACTTTAAAAGATACCTTTTGTTGTCTGGTGTACTATAGTTTGACATTGTGCAAGTTATTATTGGATAAAATAACCGTTATTAATGTGGCAGATGATTACAAACTTTTGAACCATAGTGTATGTATTTTAGATTGTGGGACTGATTCAATACTGATTTAAGTCAATGTGATTCAGAAATCATACCATATTTTCCCTCAATACCATGACATATTTCTATATCGGGGTCTCTGAGCCAGCTGAGTATTTTTTTTCCTTTTCAGTTCAGTATTTCTTTATACACATAAACACCTGCATGCAGCAATTTGGAGGATATGTATATACACCTTGTTGGGAAAGGTGAAATATAACATTATTGGTTAATATTATTTTTGCCACCTGCTTGTGTGCAGTGAGCCAGAAATCAGAAGTTCTGATTTTTCAGGTTGCCTTTAGAATTAAACTTAATCTTTCTGGACTAAATGACTCTTAGGGAGGATTCTGGCTTTGGACTGTACTTTAGCTCTATGTATGTTTGATATTTAACTGTTTCCCGCTCTTCCAGGTTGAATAAGTTCCTACAGTATCTCACTGAGGCCGGATTCAGAGTGAGTCGGACACACTTCGACCCCACAGGCGTTCGCACCGATGCAACTCTGGAGCAGTTTAAGTCTGTGCTTACCAAATATAGTGTGCCTACCTACTCCTCAGCGCCCCCAAGTGGCAACCAAGGGCATGGCATAAGCACAGACGATAAGGGCCGCAAAACTGACTGATCTCTCTAAGCACCGGCAAGCAAATGAAATGTTTTTAAAATGTTTTTAAAATGTTTGCTGCTGAGTTACGAGCATTGACAGTTTATGTGTTTCTGCTGACTGAGTTTCCATGCTTCATGCCAGATAGAGAGAAGAGGATGTTTTGCTGTGTACTGTACCAGGATTTTGTTTCTTAATGCACTGAGACTTTAACTCAAGAGTTTTTGCCACTTGAGCGTGTTTTCCTTGTGATGAGTGAGCTGGCTGTCGTTTGCATAACATTTTTTTGTTGTTTGCATAACTGAGCCTACACGCTTTCAGCATCTGATAATTATATTTATTTCTTGGTTTTATGATTTCTTTTATATTTATGAGGTTTTGATCATTTTATGTCAATCTTTCTTGATCTGCTTTTGTATTTCTTTTTAAAATTGCTCTCTTGCCTAGAGCTGCCTAGACATTTATATGTTGTTGTCCGTTACATAACATAAATAAACCATGAAAGCATGGCATTGTCATGTTTCATTCTCTCATCTCACTTTGTTGCTTTGGCTTAAGAGATACTTCTAACTGCCTGGCTTTAATGGTGGCAGAGCTGTGGTCACCATCCCTGCTCCTGGAAATCTGCTCGCTTGCAGAATTCAGCTCCAGTCCAAATCCCACACACCTGATCCAGCTAATTAAGTGAGCTGATCAAATGTGTTCAGTGTTGGAAGTTAGATCTCCAGCAGCAGGACCAGTGACCACCATAGAGATACCTTTCGGTGAGGCTAACCAAAAAATTGAGGGTGTCTATTTGGTTTAGTTGATCATGTAATGTTGTTTAAAGATTAGGCTTTGTCACTGTAGTGTGGTTATTTGCTAACTGATCAAGAGATCTGATGGAAATAACATAACAGTAAGCCAGGTAGTGCTTACAGTAGCATAAATTCTTATGTATTATTTTAAAAAGAAGTTTTATATTAGTAAACAAAGACTAAAGCAAAAGTAAAGGTAGTTACCAAAAGTATCTTCAGTAGGAGTGAGGAAGTATCCGTATAAGGTCCTTATTGACCTGCTGCTGTGCTTCTTAATACATAAAGCATCAATTTACACAGGAACTGAAGTTTATTGGACTCTATTCTCTTTTTGGGATGTTTTATGTAAAACAGAATACTAAAACTAAAAAGCGCAAGGAACAATAAAGTAGTGCAGTTGCTGTGCCAACAGGACAGCTGAGGTGAATATTAATTGTACTTATTTGAGAAGATTTTCACTTTACTCGAGTGTTATTAAAACTGAATATTTATACACTTAATTACACAAAACATACATTTTCATTTATATCTTCAAAGGCTACAAGATTTTCCTCCTGCCAATCAATGTTTTCATACATTTGAATTTACTGTTTTTATCAAAAAATCCAATCAAATTTATATGAAGGTCAAATAAAACTGCCCAAAACTGTGCTATCTAGTACTGCCATACTACTGATACTTTTTACTTTCACTGAAGTACATATTTGGTTTCATACTTCCACTTCAAAAGGAGTAAGATTTTGACAAATGGCTTCCAGACTACTTCTTGCAGAGACATGACACAGCTGGCCAGTGATTTGCACTGGAAAACTGCATGTGAGCCAAAAGTGGCCCACTTTAAAAAAAAGCCTATTTGGCCCTCATGTGCCAAAACAGATCAGGGCTCCTTGACATGAGCTAAGTGACAATCATTTATGCTTGATGCTAAAGATGTGGGGGCTAATAGTTTAAATTCAGATCCATACTTGGCTGAGATCTGAATTAAAATGACTAGCCCCCACATCTCTGTTTAAATCATAAATTCACGTAGGCCAAAACTAAAATGTTTCAGCATATGTGACATTTTGTTATTTGAACAAAGAATAATGTTGGGATAAAATAAATTAATTCATTTTAATTAGTTCAACACAATCTGCCTTAGTACTACGATCACTACTACATAGCCTAGTTTGCAGTTTCATTCAGGTTTAGTTTTAAATGATTTGTGGCTGCTTAAAATTTTGTCTTCATTAAATATCAGATTGTAAGTTAGTAGAACAATAAAACTTTTTTGATGTACAGTGAACTTAAACTTTTACATCTGCCACATTACTTACTTCAAAACAAACAAATCTTTTTCACAGTGTGGTAAACATTTCAGACATGTAGGCTTATTTTGGAAATGTAGGCTTAAAACCTGGAGTACCAGAGTGGTCCAACAGGCTAAGCATTTGCCCCATAATCAGGAGATCAGGAGTTGCCAGCCATCTACAGCTGGTTTTCAAAGAGGATGAACCACATGCTAGCCTCCACCCCTCGAGCCTGTTGGCACTGGGCGACAGTGGAACTTTCCCCTAATAGGGAAGTTGTAACAGGCTGATTTTTGTACTAGTGGTTTTGAGAGGTGGATCAGTTCTGGCAGTGGTGGTTTACAGGTGGCTGAGATGCGGCCCATAAATGGCAGTAAACTAGCTGGGTTCTGAATAGCATCCAATATCTTCTGGCCCTCTCCTTTGCCATCATTCCATGCGGTATGTTGGCCACAAGTAATGCCGGATGTGGCCCAGTTTTGGACCGCATCAAATTTGCTATCCGAGTTTTCACTTGAGTACAGTTTCTCCATACTTTTTACACAGAAGAGAATTAAATTAAAGTGAGTTAAAACTAAACGTGAAGAAATGTAGATTCTGCATAAATGTATGTACAGCAATTACACCCTATTTCCAAAAATGGAAAATGTAAATAAAAACCCAATGCATTGATGTGCAAATCATTTAAACCTTATATTTAATTGAACATAGTACAACACAAAACAACATATCAAATGTTGAAACTGAGAAATTGTATTGTTTTTTTGAAAAATATAAGCCTATTTATAATTTGATGCCAGCAACATGTTCTACTGTGTTGCATTACCTTTTCTTTCAACAACACTCTGCTGTAGTTTTGAAAGTGAAATGTTTGCCCATTCTTGCTTGACATAAGATTTCAGCTGCTCAGTTCGGCAGGCAGGCAAGTTTAGCACCCAGACCCTTTTACTACAGAGACATGCTGTTGTAATACATGCAGAATATGGTTTGACATTGTCTTGCTGAAGTAAGCAAGGCCATCCCTGAAAAAGACGTTGTCTGGATGGTAGCAAATGTTGCTCTGAAACCTGTATATATCATTGAGCATTAATGGTGCCTTCACAGGTGTGCAAGTCACTCTTGCCATGTGCGCTAATTCTCCTCCATACCATCACAGACGCTGGCTTTTGATCTGTGTGCTGATGACAAGCCAGATGGTCCCTTTCCTTTATAGTCCGGAGGACGCAGTGTTCATGATTTCCAAAAATAATTTCAAATCTTGATTCGTCTGGCCAAAGGACACTGTTACTTTGCCTCAGTCCTTTTTAAATGAGCTTGAACCCAGAGAAGGCGGCAGCGTTTTTAGATTTCGTTTATTAATAGTTTCTTCTTTTCCTGATAGAGTTTTAACTTGCATTTGTGGATGCAGCCATGAACACGAACTGTGTTCACAGACAATGGTTTTCAGATGAGCCATTGCTGTGATTTCCACTACAGAATCGTGTCTGTTTTTAATGCAGATCACAGCCAGCCAGTATTGATTTTTGGCCTTGTCCCCTGCATACAGAGATTTCTCCTGATTCTCTGAATCTTTTAAATAATATCATGTACAGTAGATGATGAAATCCCAAAGCGCTTTGCTATTTTATATTGAGAAGCGTTATTCTTGAATTGTGCAACTATTTGTTCACACAGTCTTTCACAGAGTGGTGAACGGCTCACCATCTCTACTTCTGAAAGACTCTCTGGGATGCTCTTTTTATACCCGGTCATGGGTGTAACCTAATTGGTCAGTTATTTGTCGTCCCTGTCCTAACTTTTTTGAAACATGTTAGCATCAAATTCAAAATGGGCTTATATTTTTCAAAAACAATAACATTTCTCAGTTTCAACATGTGATATTGTTGTCTTTGTACTATTTCAAATTAAATAAAGGGTTTAATTGATTTGCACATCATTGCATTCTGTCTTTATTTACATTTTGCACAGTGTCCCAACTATTTTGGAAACGGGGTTGCACTGTTTACTTGGAAAAATACAATTAATGAAATTATAGCAACAGGAATTCTGAACAAAATGTGAGGAGAACGTAGAATAAGTAAGGAGTAAACGTACACACCCCCCCTCCCGCCCCCCAGAATAGCTTTAGTTCAGAACAGCTTTATTAGCATGACTGTGAGGTACAGTATTGCTAAAGCATCACAACAGTAGCAGTGAACATCATGAAAACAGAGTAAGATAAAAAGACACTTTAATTATAATCTACTAATTAATAAACGAATGACATTTGCAATTTTTGACACAAATAAGTTGTGTAATGTTGGGGGTCAGTAAAGTGGGGGTACGAAGGGTGGGGGTAAGTAGAGTGGGGTATGTGGGGTGGGGGTCAGGAGGGTGGGGGTATGGGGGGGGTTGTTACCCACTGTGTCTCTCTCTCTCTCTCTCTCTCTCTCTCTCTCTCTCTCTCTCTCTCTCACCGCAAGTCTAGAGAGTCCACAGACGCTTGTTAGCTTTGGCGACAGTAGCTTTTACTCGTGTGTTGACACTCCGCCTGTCTGTCAGTCAGTCAGTCAGTCTGCCGGTGGAGGCGAAGCGAGAGAGAAGCGAACTTCAACCTGAGGGGAGCTCGACTCAACCACCGACACCACCATGGGCTCTTCGTCCAGTCTTCTGGATGAAAACAAATCCAACTTAATAAAAGGTAAGAATAGCGCAGAAAAACAAAGCTCGTGGCTTTTTTTTGTTTGCCTGAAGAACCTGTTTCATATCCGTAGCTGTAGCTGAGCTGCAGTCACTGAGGCGCCGGAGCGATTTTCTCTTAATTTCACCTCATACATTTTCACTACAAGGACGTTTGAAAAGTCCTCCGTTTTAGAGATTTTGTGGGTAAAAGTCGCTTGTTTGAAGACACCGGTCGGATAATGTAAATGTATACCGGCTCACAAGTGAGGCAGTTCAGTCAGTCAGAGATTTATTTCGCCTGACAGGCTGTTTATGTGATGTGGAAGTGGAGCAGTTCATCATTTTCCAAAAAGTGACGCCTCATAATTGACACACAAAGCCGTTGGGATTAAAATTATAGCTGATTATTCTTAAATCCTTATCTTTCAAGCTTAATAGACCTGGCTGGAATGGTCAGGCTTTATTAAGTTAAAAGTGAGGCAGTATTTAAGGGAAAGATTCCTGTTAAAATAGTGCAGAGTGGAAAATAAGAGCCTCACCTGTTTCCCTCACACATACTAAAGCATTGTCTATTCTCTTCATTCTACACACTGCATACTTCAGCAGAGTCACTCCTGTCATTCAACCCCCATAACTGAAAAGGGAGAGGGCGAGTGAAAAGTGCCAGGACCAGTTTTGGCTCTTTTTCTGTCTCTCTTTCTCTCAGGTCATTGTCAAATTAAGTGAGGACAAGGGAACACCATTCTTAACCATGAGTGTCTGTTGGACATGGTCAGTGCAGGCGTGTACATTTGTGGAACAGCCTCATTTACATGGTTCCTTTTCACAGCTATGTGAGATTAAGCCAGGGTCACTTAAACTGAAGTGAGACGTCTAACAACATATAGGTTTTTATTAACGTATTCTGCTCGTACAGTCCTGTTTTATAAGCCAGGTAAAGGAAATACAAACAGAACGCCACTCCTTTTCGGTAGTTCCCCAGTCTTTTGGCCTTTTCCTGCAGTTTCCACTGGAAAATATGTTGGTGCATATTTCAGAGAGCCATTTGGATTTTAGTGATGGTATTTGAGGTTACTTGTTCCCATTTAGGGTTAGTGTTCCAGTGATTTACACATGGTACACGTTACTTTAGCATCTCATAAGACAGGGTTATATAGGGATGGTTAATCTGTCACCCATATGATAGCTGCCTGTACATGGTTTGTTGTTAAAAAATTAGGAAACTGATTTAAAATTTTGAGTGAATTGACCATCCAACAGAAAGTGAACAGCAGTAATCTGTGTTTACATTCTGCAAACATATGCGATGTTCGGGAAACTCGGCAAAATGGCAAAAATATCATATCATGATACTTCAAGACATTTTCACGATACATGATATGTATCGCAATATTTTGACGCCCACACAATGCACTAGTAATGCCACATCAAAAACCACACTATGATTTTTATTTAATGTTTCACTCCAATTGAACAGGATCATCTTTGTAATGAAGCATGCAGTTGTACAGCAGTTGTTAAGTACAGTTGTTAAGTAAAGTGGTTGGTGTAGTGTAGTGGGTAACGTCTCCCTTTTACGCTCTGGACTGGGGTTCAGTTCCCCGCCTGGGTAAGCACCCTACACTATACCAATAAGAGGGGCTTATTGTGGGGCATTCATGGGCTGGAGGTTAGGGAACCAGCCATGTGACTGGAGCGTTGCTGGTTCAATCTCCTGAGCCGACGGTACGTGACTGAAGTGCCCTTGAGCGAGACACCTAACCCCCAACTTCTCCCTGGGCGCTGCAGATGGGGCTGCCCACCGCTCCGGGCAAGTGTGCTCACTGCCCCCAAGTATGTGTGTTCAGTTGTGTGTATGTGGTGTTTCACTGCACAGATGGGTTAAATGCGGAGGTGAAATTTCCCTGTTTTGGGACTAATAAGGGTCACTTAAAAATAAGAGTCCTTGAGCAACACTACCTTCGCCTACCAGTGTAAATGACAAAAATTGTAAGTCACTCTGGGTAAGAGCATCTGCTAAATGCCGTAAATATACGGCTGATTTCCATGATATGCAGAGAAAAGCAAACTTTATCGCAATAACAAAATGTATTATGATAACTATAAAATATCATATTGCCTCTTCCAGTTACATTTTAACATTATGTGCAGTGTTTTCTCATTCTGTGCAGGGGAATATGTTACCTCTAAAAGCTGTTTTAGCATTTTTTATTCACCTCAGGCAAAACCAAGATCATGACTCCTCCTGAGAAAAGGCTTGGTTTGATACACTCTGCCTTCAACCCTGCTTTAGGGAATTAATGCAGTCCTGTCAAGCCTGCTATTTTCCTGCCACTAGCTTCATTAAAGTCATTCCTTTTTATAAGTCATGAGTCAATGATAGGAACGGCAGATGACGCCTTACTGGAACTGGAACATGGAACTGATCCTCACCCAGTATCGGTATTGGGCCATTATTATCAAAAATTCTAGTTCAGATGTTGATTGAACAAATGAACGAATCTGATCTGATTCTGTAACAAATCCAGCCTGATATGTATCACAGAATTGCTTGTAGCACAACGTAATATATAGTACCTTTATTTCTAACAGTGTAGAATTACCTTAGTTAAAGGTACTTAGTTAAGTAGAAATATATTAGTTAAAATAATCTAATCATACTTTTGCACTGTAAGTGATATTTCTCTGTATTTCTGTTTATTTTTGGGAAATAAAGAATAATCTTAGTATTTTTTAAGAAAAAAATAATATTAGCTTGGTAACGGTCAATTCAGTACTAACGCTGTGGGTATGATCTCTAGAACCTGGCTGGGTAGAGTTCATCTGCTCATTTAAAGCAAACCAAATATCTGCTGTTTCACCCAAGCCATCCCAGTCACTTTGATTTGAAGTCAAGTCAAAGTTTATTTATGTAGCGATTTTTACAGCAGGCCTTGTCACAAAGCAGCTTCACAGAAAAATCTGGTTCCGAGCCCCCATGAGCGTCGCCAATGGCGACAGTGGCAAGGAAAAACTCCCTAAGAGCAAGAGGAAGAAACCTTGAAAGGAACCAAGACTCCAAAGGGGAAACCATCCTCCTCTGGTCGACACCGGATAGCAAAACAATGACACGAGCAAAATGAACAGAGAATAAGGTTTTAACGTTATCTTCTGCCTATCTACTCAATGGACCACCTCAGCTAGACTCATAAAGGCTGATCCAGGACCAGTTTTGACTTAAATCAAAACAAGCCATCTAGATTTACCAACAGCAAATGGAAAGGTAGAAACACAGCCAAGCAGAGGCTCAAAGTCGGATGATGAAGCCGGGTACATAACAATTTTTAATGCAACATGAGCCAGGTGACGTCGGTGCCCAGCCGACTGAAAAGTAAACAGATAAAACTGAACAAATGAATGTTAATTTTACATTAAAGTTAAAATCATTTTGAAGTATGAACAGTTAGTCCAAAGTTTATGCTACAGTTGTATTCAAAACAGGGTCAAATTTGATAATAAACTACAGCCATTTCATAATCGCCATGTTTTTTATTATCTCGGAAAATCCGAGCATGTGCGACTTTACTGAGATCTGTCTGAAAACTCAAGACATACGTGAGATGCCTGGACTTTTATCAGGAGAAATATCTGAGCAGCATAAGTCTTTTTTGTCTTTCCATCTAATCTTGTTGTCTAGGAGAAACTACTAGATATTAAGCAGATCTTGTTTATGATTTTTCTTTCCTATGGGCTGCCACCTGGTTAGCACTTGAAAGCAGCATTAGTGCAATATAGGGCAATTCAGTTATTACTAATGGCCTTCCATTTCTGTAATCCCTGTCCCTTCTCAGACCCATGGAGTGCATTACCACAGTACATAGCCATGATAATTTATTTAAAGTTCATAATGCAAGCTTTAACTGTTTCTCATACAGCTGGCACATAGTCAGCTCCATTGTTTTACTCTTTCCCTGTGTTTTTTTGCTAAAGGAGAGGAAATTGAACCCTTTTTAGAATCAAGCAAAACACAATACTGGAGTCACTGTTGTTTGCACACTTTGCAAAAGAGAATGGAATTTGACTTCATGTAGTGCGCATGTTCTTCAGCATGTTGTTATTTAGCTTTCAGCTAACTAGTTACAGGTGGATGTCCCATTGTATTCCATGTAGCAGGAAACACCCGTGCTATTATGTAATCCTCTTACTGTTCACTGACTTATGCCTCACTTTCAGTCATAGGACTCAGGAGAAAGTATGAGACCAGGACAAACCTGGCTCCTGGCTCATATCAGTGCAGGGAATGCCAGGCCGCCAAAGTGGGCAAACGTGACCTCAGAACCCTTTTTTTTTAATAATGTATGTTGTTTTAAAAAATATATATGCGCTTTAATCCATTTATCTATTTGTATGTTTGGCTTGTAGATCTGAATTGTTTTTAAGTCCCATTAATGCTGTTACCCAAAGGCTGTTTCTAAGAGCAAAACATCTGAAATATTCTGAACTAAGCAATGATGAGGTCATCCCTGGGTCAAAGATGATGGATAATTTCTTACTTCTCTATGGCTACTTTCACATTACAAGCCTTGTTGCTCAAATCTGATTTTTTGCTCAAATCCGATCTCTCTGACATGATGATTCACACTTGTTCAGGTAATTAGCTCTGATCAGCTCAGTTCATTATTAGAGCAAGACGAAGGCGAAAAAGGTGAGATGTGCTGCTTTTCCACCGGTTACGGGCTTTAAGTTCTGTTCGGCGCTGCTGCCATGGTAACGCTGAATGATGGCGCACGCGCAGTGGAGAAAAAGCGCATGAATTCCGATCTCAGCGTTCACATTAAGGTCGCATGGCCACGAATCGGATACCTAACCAATCTAGGACCACATATGAAAGTGGCTCAGATTGGATTTGAAAATATCAGATTTGTGTGTCCACACAGCTCTGAAAACATCAGATCTGAGTCACATTAGGGCAGAAAATCGGATTTGTGCCACTTCAACCTGGTAATGTGAACGTAGCTTATGAGAAATGAAATCCCAACC